TATTTATCCATTTGAATGTGACACTTGCAATGCAAAATTTAAGCAAAAACATAATTTGAAAAGCCACATGTTAACACACAGATTGTTTATTATTTGATTCACTTAATAGTGACATGTGTTTAGCTCCGGGATCCTTGAACTAAGCCACAAAATTCACCAGTTCCGGAATAAGGAAAGGGTCACAATTTATATGCAAATCGGTACACGAGATATAGATATTAAATCCACTTATTTACTTCTTATAAATAGCTAAAATCTCAGGCATGGTAGAGGAAGATCCAAAACTTAGGCTTAAGCATTGAATATAAAAAAAAAGATTCAGAAATCGGTAAATCGTTACATAATTGTTTCGGAATGATGTTTTTGGAGAATCAAGAAGTTAGCAATTTCTTTGTTTTCGAGTTGTTAGCTATTCAGCCGAATCACGAAGTTCTAGTTAAATTTTCAGATTATCTCATCGACACATGGCACATGCCTCGATAGACCTGGGTAAGAAAACAAATGCCTGTAAATCTTTCCATAGTCATTTTGGTAGATCTTTTTATTTTGCGCATCAAAATACATATTTACACTTTTTTAGATTTATTAACTCATATGCAATGCGAAATCTGTCAACATCATAAGGTAAGTTTTATGGGAAGTAGGTTGGGTTTCATGATTTGGTCGAATTCAAAGGTAGGATTACTGCAGCTACCTGGTTTGTGGCCGAATTCAAGTATGCCCGTTTCGCTCATACGAGCATCATCGGACCTACAATATAATATATATAGAAAATAATTAAAATTTAAGAAATTTCCAGGGGGGGTCGAGTGACCCCCCCCCTGACCCTCCCTGTGGGCGCCCTAACAAGGACTTAACTAACGATTGATCTCGCCACACTAAGATAACTAAAATATCTCAAAATGAAAAAAAAAAAAATCAAATAATTCTCCAAGTTCGACATGACTGACATTGCCATTAGAATAAGACAATCGAAAATCAATAATAAAATGGTGAAGTAAGGGCCGGTATTCCAATGTAACCTCAAGGTACAGATTAACCCACAGAACCCTAACCCTAATACAATATAGTTCCCATTATTTACGGTGGATGTGAATCTTAGAGCCGCATTTCTAGTCGTTCCTTGAATTTTTCTTGGAGTCGTGTCCATGGATTGGATTTGTCACAAATATCGAAAAGTTACAATTTGTGGGGGTCTTGCTATCAGGGTTCTTATTCTTAAAAAAGGGGAGCAGCGTTCTTATGAGAACGAAGGTTCTTTTCTTCGTCGCTCATATTCATATTTCTATAACACTGACAAGACAAAGCAATCGTTCTCATAACACGGTTCTCCGGTTTCGAACATAGACATTAAAAACAAACATCAGTATATACATAAGATCTCTCTGGCTTAAGATATCTTTGATTATTGTCATTACGAGTTTGTTCGTATGCCATTTGGTCTTAATACGCCCCATCAACATTTCACTAGAGAAGATTGTTTGTTTTACTTTAAAGAACGGTATAACGGTTAGGTACCTACCCTATGGATTGGATTCGTCACAAATATCGAAAAGATACAATTTGTGGGGAATAATCATAATCTGAATTCCCGGCTGAGTGAGCTTGTATATTTGAAACATATGGAAAAACATGCGTTATAAATTATGATCTTAATTTTTCAGATGAATTCAAAACGCTGGTCAGAGTCACTCTGGCAGATCGATATGAAATATCACTGAAATATTCATAATCTGGAAAAGTCAGAATGTGTGTGCTGTATAAAAAAAATTTACAGGGTGTTCATTTTAAAACTTATCACCCCTATTATCTCGGAGGAGAAAAATTTATTGCAATTTTGACAGGCTGTAAAACCTAAACGGTTATCTTAGATTTTTATAAACTATCATTGACATTAACAACTTTGAATTTAATCCATGATCAAAAATTTCAGTTAAAAATTTAATCTCCGGTTAAATTTAAAGTTGGTGTCAAATGATAGTTTATGAAAATCTAAGGCAAGAACGTAGGATCGGTTATCCTCGAAAATTAACCGTTAGTCTGTTAAAGTAACAAAAAAGTCAATTTGCAACTGTCAATATTTTCAAAACAGTTGAACTTAGGGATTAAAATTTAGTACCAAAATGTATGGAATTAAAAACTCTCCAAAATGATGTATCACTTGACCGACTCCCTTTCTCATTTAAGATTTTTCTAGAGGGTGGCTCTGGGCGCTGGGGAAGGTGAATTTTGCATGAAAACTCTTCCGCCTAAAATTATAGTTGACGTGTTCCAGGAATTTTCTCGAAAATTTTTCTCCTCCGAGATAACAGGGGTGGTAAGTTTTAAAATGAATAGCCTGTATAGGTACAATTCTGTACGTTATAAATGCAGATTATGAACTCCGTTTCTGAATTCGAAAAGATATTTTTCTACGAGCGTGCGGGAAATGGCTCTTCCCGCACGATTTGCTGTGCGGGAAGAGTTTGAAATAATCATTATGACATGGAATTGTTTGTATTGTTGATACACCTATACCTGTACCTTTACCTTTTTATAAATACCTCTCAATACATTTTTAATTCTACCTTTTGCATGATCGCATTAATTTAAATTAAATTCTTCGTAACATCGTTAAACGAACTCACCAGCTATACTTGCAGCAATGACAGGGATTGTCATATTTGACAAAAAATCCATTGTCGAGAAAGGACTGATTTACCCAAAATACCGAAAAATGACAAGACCTGTGAGTCGGGTGTCCCACTTTCAACAGTGGCGTAACTAAGGGCCCGCAGTTGCGGGGGGGGGGCCGTGACTTGGGGGTCAGACCAGATGACAAGAAAGTACTAAACTGGCGACAAAAATATTACTAAACTAAAAGTAAATACTTAAACCTAACCTTTGAATCTCATAATACATAAAAACCATTGAAAAAGTATGTCTAACCAATGTAAGAGATCTCAGAGAGAAATTTTTAGACTCATAGGCGCCGGAACCATGGGGGCAATGGGGCTTGAGCCCCCGTTGTGACTTTGCTATAGTGATTTTGACATTGTATGTAGTGGGTGTAGTGAATAGATACAAAAATATTGAGTTCTTGATCCTAACATTCCTAACTATTTATTTTTTTATCAAACTTGTGTGTCTTATGTTTTTGTTGTTTTTGCTATAATCACTTTGACAAACAGTTTGACAGATACCCATTACCCAACATAACGGATTTCTTGAAGAAGCTGGGACGCTGGCAGTATTTCACTGCCTCAGATTTAGCTAGCGGCTTCCACCCAGATCTAGACAACGACATCGAAAAAACCGCATTCAGCACAGAAAACGGGCATTATAAGTTCTTGCGCATGCCCTTTGGTTTGAGGAACGCGCCAGCTACATTCCAAAGAGTTATGGATGATATTCTATATTCCAATATATTGAGCAACTTTAACACCAAAAGATGGAACATCCCATCTATAATAGTTATTCATTATACAAGGGAAAAAAGTATTGGAAAAAAGTATTAGATTTTAGAGCGAGATGTGGTCTGCCTTCCGTCGCGAAGCGGAGGGAGACAACAACAAGGTGGCTAAAAAGCACTGGGAATGCCGGAGGTGGAACAGGGTAAATCGTTATCTTTCGTTCTCTATTCAACCTTAGAGTTTTTCTAGACATTTCATTCTATTGCATTAAAATTTGCCTGTTGTTGACCTGTCAAACCTGTATATTAGGTAGTTCATTTTTTGGCCATGCTATTAGCTTATTTATAAGTTTGTTTCGAGCCGTGTGAAGATAACAATGACACCATTTTGTAGAGAAGAAAGAATCTGGAATCTTTTGTATGAACACTTTTTCTAAAGTTAATAGATTTTGAAATATTCATTAAATAAGTTAATTTTTTTTTTACATTTTCTTTTAGATCTCGGAAACGAATAAAAACTTGGCAACCCTGTGTACTTACCTTCAATGGATACTAAAATCTACCACTTTTATCTAATTTACCTAAACCTACTTCGTCCCTCTTACCGGTTCGGAGATAGCAATAGTGGTATCACTTAAAACGGACACACTGTATAAAGCAAAATTAGAAAGAAAAAAAAAATACATAAAAGATGGGCCCCGGGAAAATCCTTGCGGGGGGCTCCGGATTTGAAGTTACGCCACTGACTTTCAATGCTCACGATTGTACCTTTTTTTTTACATTTTATTTTCTGTATAATTCATGCCATTTTAAAAGATGAGATTTTTCTGTTTTTATCGTTTTCAGGTAAGTATAATAAAAAATATCGTTCATTACACGTCCAGAAATGGATTTTTCCGTTCTTGCATGACTTCCGCGCACGGAAAAATCCTTTTTTTTGGACTGGTAATGAAATATACTAATTCGGCAGCGTGAGGCCGGCCTAAAAGTCTAATTCCAGATACCGGAATATACGTTTTTTTTTTGTGTTTATTTCCAAGTTGAAATGTTAATTTTTTTTCAAGCCTTTTTCGGGGCCCCACTTCCCACCGGGCCTTATGTGCCTTTTGGTAAAATAGGCCCTGCCTCCGGCCTATAGGTAGTTTTTCTCCTCTGAAAACTCCCCTTAAAACCAACACGATATGACGTTTTTAGCAACTCATCTTAATTTCGAGTGGGACCACCCACATTTTATGAAGAACGACTCTCGCTTCTTAATGGTGGATTAATAACGAACATGCCTTATTAACCCAATGCTACCGGTCATAACTTATGGTGAGAGTGTTAATTATTAAGAATCCCGCCACAGGCATTAATTTTTTAATTGATGCCTTTTGCCTATATTACAATTATTATAGTAAGGCAACCGATAGCCAAGTCTAGGCTTTGCACGTACTTTTATAGGTATCTACTCCTTAATTTCCAAAAAATATACTTACACATGTTTATAAATTGATATAAAATACTAATCAACCATTAACCTACTGAACGTCAAAAGAGAGCAAGCAATCAAAAACCTAATTTAGAAGCAAATAAATCTTTTGGGTCAAAAATGAAAAACTACCTAACAGACAGGAAGTTCCTTTTTTTTATTGAATCTTTTTTAAATCAAATGATAGATTTTTTTAGGGCAGATGCAGTGTAAAATCAAAAACCTGCATATTGTAGCCCTTCATTAAACATTACAAAATACCATGAACAAAAATAATGCATTTTAATTACCAATTCTTAAATGCCTAATGTCATTCCTGTAATAAAAACAAAGACCACCCATGAATGCTCAATAATCGAACCCCTTTTTTTTTCAAGTCAAATAATCTTATGGGAAAATTGTCATAAGTTTTACGGATTTTTAGTTTTATAATTTGTTTACCAGTCAAGCATATCCAGAAACTCTGCTGCTATGAGAAGATAATTTATTTTGATTATTTGTTGACTGTGATTTATCAATGTAAATTATCGTCACTTTCTATGCGAATAACTGAATAGAGTTCCCGCGTCTATTTTCAATGGCCAAAAAATTCACTTTGTAAGTTAACAAAGCGAAAATTTAACGGGTGTTTATTACGATGCAAAAATCAATGTAAAATAGATCTGTTCGATGGGCCGGAAATTATTTAAATTATTGTTATGGAGCTATGACTTTCACCCGGTTATGGGAAGTGATTGAATTATGATTTTTGTTCTGTTTTTTAATTTGAAAATTCCATGATGATTTGCAACCATTTATAAAAAATTCCAGTGAACATGATACATTTTTCAAATTGCCTAAAATACTGAAAGTAATTTTGCAGATTATCTAATCGATTTATTCTGAGCAGTAACATTAATCTTGGACAACAAAAGATTCACTCATAAGTTTATCAATGATTATGGTGAACTCAACATTGAGCATTTTTGAGATACAACATACACAAAAATTATTAATAAAATTTTAAATAACAAGGCATGACCTATCATACTACCCTTTCCACCAACCATTGCATTATTTGGTAAAAGATGATTCGTTGTATTTTTTGTCTCATCCAGCAATTTAATGTCTCATTCCAGATGCAAAAGTTGGTGCCTTATAATTGTGGGTACATGATGATAAGCTTAAATGTAAGGCACTTATAAGTAATAACTTATGAAAAATAATAACTAAACTAAATAATATAAAATTACTCGCTAGACATGATCCTTTCCACCAGCTATTACATTTTCTAGTAAAATAATATTCTTGGAATTCTAGCCCAAAAAAAAAACATTCAGCAATTCCTCCGCCCCCACAATCAATTATAGGAGGTCTATGGATATACCTGTTTGGACCAATGTAAATGACCAAAGATACTATTTCCATATAATTCTTATTGAAAATATTCACGGTGCAGTAAAAATCAAGAATCAATTCATTAAATTTTTCTCTTACTGTCTCATTTAGCAAATTTATCCCAGATGCAAAAGTTGGTGTATTAAAATTAGGGCTACAATGTGAAAAACTCAAATGTAAGGCACTTATAACTAATAGTTACGATAAAAATATTAAACAGAAGAATAATAGTAAATTTATGAACACAAAATAATTTTTTGAGTTTCAATATAAACCTCCAGGCCAAGCATGACGTGTCGCACCATCCATTTCACCAGCCAGTGCATTACTTCGCAAAAGATGATGATTCGTTCCTCCTATTTTCTCACCACAAATACATGTAGAAATTTGATTTGCCCCTCCACAATCGTCGATGACATATGGATGCCCGTTTGGACATTTATACCAATGCCCTTGCCTAAAATTCAAAGCTTGCACTATTTCCAGACGTTCCTTATCAGAAATTTGAACCGCGCAGTCTACTTTCTGAATTAACTCATTCAAGTTCTTCTTGATAGCTTCATCCAAGAAACTGGTATATCTTTTATTCCCAAGCAAAACTTCCTTAATATTATCTTTAAGTTTCGTTACATCTGGGCGAATAGAGGCCATCCTAAATTGCGCAGACTTTTGAATATCATCAAACTGCACGATTCTTTGCAATCGTTGAATTTCCCATTCCAAGTCTTCAACTTCCTGGTTAGTCACATGATCTTCTGACCGCATCAGCACTTCCAAGAGAATTTTGACGTGTTGAATCGACTCGTCCTTATCGTTGAAGCTACATTTGGCATCTTTGAAGCATTCGATAATACCAACGATCGTTTGAGTTTTCGAAGTAATGGCATTTAATTCGATTTTGTTAATCGGCTGTCTGCGATTGTTTTTGGCTGGTTTTAGACGATTCAATAGGGTTTTTATGGTGAATTGAAGGGCATAACACTCTAAAAAAAAATATACATTTATTAGAATCTTTTTATTATTGCATGTAGTTAGTAAGTTTTTACTTCTCGGATGCACATTGCAAACCAAAACTGTAAATAGATAAATAATATTATAAGGGTTTTCCTAAACTCATGCCAGAAATTGTTTTACGTTACTTCAAACAAAGGTGTTGCGGTTGTGATTTCTTGAGTGCTATTATAAAATCGGGAATTTAGCTGGTCTAAAGTGAAAAATCAAATATAAAAATTAGATCAGTGGACTGGAAAATTTTTTCTCTACAAGTAGGTAGTGCTAAAATTCAAATTTGAATAATTGGATTAGAACCATAATAATTTAATTCGAACAGTAAATATCCGTTGTGAGGTTTGCTAGTCCTCCATCGGGCGCCTCCTTAGGTGGCGGATAGGGGAATGCCTCTCAGATATGAGTGGTATCGGGGAAATTAAATACCCGGGGCGGACCAAAACTAGCACTGCAGCGTCTGCCCCAGAGTGAGCGGCTGAAAGCAGCGTCTGTCCCAGAATGGGCGGCTGAATCAAAACTCACCAACCCGCCTGGCCTGGCAAGCGTGGTGTTTTACTTGCCATTACCCCCCTGTACATACCATGGCGAATTTTAAAACAAATGGAACTGGTCCCCAGGGTCCTAATTCTTGAAACAAGGGAGCAAAGTACCCAGGAGAACGAGTATTCCGTCTTTCTCAATGATATGCAAATGATAATATGAGTAACAAAGACGGAACACTCGTTCTCCTGGGAACGTTGCTCCCCTGTTTCAAGAATAAGCGCACAGGTGGGTGGGAAATTTCCCGACTCCCACACCTCTATGGTCTACCTCACGGAATCTGAGGGAGGCAAAAATTCGCTCCCAAAAGATCAAACCCCCACGAAAATGACTAACACAACAAAAATCACAGAAATTGATCAACCTAACAATAGGAACATACAATATTAGATCAATGAACACTGACGAAAAGATACATGAACTGGAGAAAGAGCTGACAAGAAGAAAGTGGGACATATCAGAAACTCGAAGAAAAACAGAAAATCGAATAAAATTGAACTTCGCTGGTATACTACAAAGGTAAGAAAAACAACAGTAACTTTGGAGTAGGATTTATTATAAATAAAGCGATAAGTAAACACGTACAAAATATCAAGGGAGTCTCAGATCGGGTTGCTTATCTCGTACTTAAAATTAAAAGAACATCGCTTAAAATTATTCAAGTGTAACCACTTCAACATACGACGACGAGACCATTGAAATATTCTATGAAGATATCTCAAAGGCTATGAGAGAACATAAAACTCGCCTTACTCTAGTAAATAGGGATTTCAATGCCAAACTTGGTAAGTAGCTAAATAAAGAAGTGACAAAAATCGGGAACTTTAGGTACGGTGAGAAGAACGATAGGGGCACTACCTTGAACTATCTAGAAGAAAAACATCTATATGCAATGAACTGGTTCTATAAGAAAAAACCGCAAAGAAAGTGGACATGGCTCAGCCCTAATGGAACAACGAGAAATGAAATTGACTACATACTGAACACTGAAAAATATATTATTAAAGATGTAACAGTCCTGAACAGATTCACCACAGGCAGCGATCACAGAATGGTCAGAGCAAAAATACGTATCGATGACAACTTTGAAATGAAAAGAAAAACTAACGGAAACAAGGGACAACTGGACATGACCAAACTTTTACAAAATAAAACCATAAACAAAGAGACTGAAGGAACAACTGACCCAGAACTTAAACAGCGATAATGAAAATATAAATAAAATATACGAAACATTAGCGGAAACCATGGTTAGGGTAGGAAAAGATATCGCACAAAAGAGACAAAGAAACTTATGGAAAGAAGGCGGAAACTCAACGAAGAAAGAAAAAGGAAATCGATAGAATACACAGAAATCAATAAGAGCATCAGGAAAATGATTAAAAAAAAACAAAAGAAAGAACCAAGAAATAGAAATAGAAAGAGTCATAGAGAATAACAGAAATATGAAATGCCTAAGACCGACACTAGGAAGATACGAAATAAATAAAATAAAAGATAAGAACGGCGTAGAAACTAATATTGAGAAGGATATCATAAATATCACACAACTCTTTTATACAGAACTATATCAAACAAAAAAGAAACCACCGGAAGAAACCGTAAAACAACTACAAACTAAAATAAAGAATGTAAACTCAGAACTGCAACCCAAAATAAGCAAATCGGAAATACAGAGGGCTCTGAAAGAAATGAAAAACAGCAAAGCACCTGGAAAAAACGGAGTCGCGGCAGAAATGCTAAAATACGGTAGAAAAACGGTTATCAATACTCTCTATCTATACCCTCCTAAATAAAATAAGTACTGAAAAAAAGCAAATCTCAAACAACTGGAATAAATCCATAACCATCATCCTTCATAAGAAAGGTGATAGAACAATTAAATTCGATGGTTACCAATCGAAAGAGCAGGCCGGCTTCAGAAAGGGTTTCACTACAAGTGACCACCTATTAACCATGAAAATTCTAATAAAACGAGCCAACGAATATCACATCCCACTATATATTGCATTTATCGATTTTGAAAAGGCTTTTGATAGTGTTTAACATTGGGCAGTAAAGAGCTCATTAATTAATAGCAGAATAGACTACAGATACACAGACCTAATAACCAACATATATAGCGAAGCAACAACAACTATTAAAATCCATGAGGGAACAAAACCAATACCCATAGGAAGAGGTGTCAGACAGGGCGACACAATATCACCTTAACTTTTCAACCAGGCCCTGAAAGATATTTTTAAAAAACTAGACGGACAACACTTAAGCAACTTAAGATACGCGGATGATATCGCCCTAATAACTGATAAGAAAGAAGAACTGACGGAAATGCTGGAAGAACCAGACACAGCAGCTAAAAACATAGGTCTCAATATGAACTACGCTAAAACTAAAACAATAACAAACACAGACGATGACATCACAATCAAAATAGGACAGGAAAAAATAGAACAAGTCGACGAATATATATATCTGGGACAGATTATTAAACTCAACAAAGAAAACCAAACAGCAGAAATCAAGAGACGAGTTAGATTAGCTTGGGCAGCATTCGGCAAATTAAGCTACATCTTGAAAAATAGACAATATCAACAATACCTCAAAACCAAAGTTTATAATCAATGTATACTTCCTGTTCTCACCTATGGATCCCAAACATGGACACTTACAAAGTCAAACATGAATAAAATAACAAAAGCACAAAGATCAATGGAAAGCCAAATGTTACATGTGAAACTGATAGATAAAAATAGGAACGAGTGGATAAGAAATAAAACGAGAGTAAGAGACGTTAGAAAGGAGGTAGCAAAATTGAAATGGAAATTCGCAGCTCACAATATCAGACAAAAAGACGACCGATGGAATAAATGTATCTTAAGCTGGAGACCTTGGGAGAATAAAACAAGTAGAGGAAGATCCCATATGAGGTATGCTGATGACCTGAAGAAGCACGCTGGAACCAGGATTTCTAGTTCTGACGACATATTGGAAGTCTATCATACTATTGGTCAGAGTCATGTGACGTCACTTTTCGCGCGCGTTTTGAATAGACTCGTTTTTCCAGCTAATTCATTTTTTTTTCTAATTGAATAACAAATGGTGGATCAAATTATTGTTACATACACTTTATATTGTATTCAGGCATTTTGAAAACTCAATAAAAAAGAAAGGCGGGACGGCCCCATTATTATAATCGTTTCAGAAATTTTAAGCCCAATGGGTGCGAATCGTCTTCAACGATACGCACATTTTCTAAGTGGATTTAATTTCGATATTAAGCATCTGAATAGCAATAAAAAAAATTGCTGATTTTTTGAGTCGACTTCCAATAAAGTTTGATACAGATGATGATAGCGAAGAAAAAGTAGTAAGTTTAAACAATCTAATTCAGGAATGTCAGATTCCCATTGATATTGCTAAAGTGGCTGAGGAGACGAAATCGGACAAATTATTGTCGCAGGTTTATGAGTGTCTGTTGTCTGATTGGCCTAGTAGAAGAGGTGCAGAGCTTGGGCCATTTTTCAATAGGCGTCATGAACTTATAGCATCAATGAAAACGTCTTGTTATGGGCTAATCGTGTAGTAATTCCAAAGTCATTGCAGAAATTTATGTTGGCAGAACTTCATAGTGCGCATATAGGAATAGTTAAGATGAAGCATTTGGCATTTTCCAAATGGCTTGAAGTAATTCCCATGTTCAATATAACGACACATTTAACAATTAGAGTGTTACGAAGCATGTTTGCTCGATATGGGTTACCCAAACAGTTGGTTTCTGATAATGACTTTGAAAATTTTTTGAGGATGAATGGTGTGGAACACCTTACTTGCATCTCCGCCTTTTTCGCCGCATTGTAATGCTGCAGCGGAAAATAGCGTTCGAACCGTGAAGGCGTGAAGCAATTTTTATTGAAAGAATTGGATAAAAAAGACATTGATGTTTCTCTGGCTAAATTTCTGATCACGTATAGAATTACTGTGCATTGTTCTACGGGAGAATCTCCCGCTAAAAGGTATTTTTGGGAAGGTCATTAAGGGCTCGGTTAGATTTCATTAAACCAAGTAAACTCTAAAATTCAATTTTTCGGGGGTCGGAATTGTTAAAAATTTCGAATAATATTAAACAAGCAGAATTAAATAACAAAAAATATTATGGCGGGAGAAGGGTAGTAAATATTTGTCTTGAAGATATTGTGTATGTTAAGGATTATAGGTCTGCTTAAACCAGTTGGTGTAAAGAGGTGGTAAAGAAAATTTTAGGCAAAAATATTTTTATGTTGAAACCAGAATAGTTGTGGAAAAGGCATGTCAATCAATTTAGATCAAATTTTGGTAACATGATGTATTCTTTTTAATAATGTTCAGTCGAATATAAATGCGACAAGCTCGGATACGAGTGCAAGTTCTTCGCCTAGGGTTCTAGAGGAAACTATGGACACAGACAATAATGAAATTATTGATGATAATAGTATTACGGAAAAAGACACGGACCTTGAACATGTTGAGAGTAATAGCCGGAGAGCCAGCGCCGAAAAAATTCTCTGAATTTACTAAAGCCAGTTTTTGGTCAGTTGATTACAGTATTCACGTACATAAACATACCTCGGTCAGTCAAGCGAAACTCGGGACAAGGACCTAGGGTGTCTGGTTAAAGTTGTCGAGATAGCTAGGTAATGCAAGGAATTTACTAAGGCTGAAAATCGCTATACATATTATATATAACACATAAATAACAGTGATGTTTGTCAGTCAGTTGAATAGCGGAACTGGGCCGGTCATTCAGCCCCATTGAGGTAGGTTCAGCCCCAATTTATGTAATAGTATTTTCCTACGACCACATACGAAAATGACAAAATTCGCATTTGTTGGTTCTTTGGAAAGCGCTTAATATCACACGCGTGCTGAAAGTACTTTCAATACGCGTACTGAAAGTACTTTTAGCACACGTGTGTAAAATACTGTTGACATTATTTGTGATTGACATTGACAATTTACTTTCAAGACGTGGATTGAAAGTTGAAAATACTTTCAGCACGTGTGTTGAAAATAAAAAGACATAAAATAAGAGAAAATTGGTGTAAATCGGTCTGGTCGTAGGAAAAATGGTGTACGTCACTCGTGAGAAAGCGTCTCTCATACACTCGCATGATTCTCGCACGAAAAAACACTCGTGTGAAATTTGTCACTTTCTACACTCGTTATATAATATACTAATTAAGCACCAAGTTAAGTAAAGTAAGGTTTTACCAATTGAGTGTGGCCAGTCTTGTGTACGAGGGAGCAAAGCGAGCGAGTGCTCTAAGGCCTCACGAAATTGGTAAAACCCTTTGCTAACGCGTTGCTTACACTATTTTATCGCATTTTGTCTTCAAGTCATTGAAAATATGATTTCACTTTTGACATGACATTAAAATAATTTTTGAAATGACATTCACAACAGACGGTGGCCTAGAAACCTCTAAAAATTATAAGGGAAACGATGAAAAAGAACAGGTAATTTTACAGGTAATGGTTGCTATGTGGTAAAGTGTTGCTATCTTGGTAAAGTGGCACTTTACCACTCAATTTTGAATGCAGTTATGTATCACATTACTGTCAAAAATGCGATATAGTTATTTACCTAACAAATGCGGAAAGTGATACTTTACCGCACGCAACGGCAGTTAACCGCACACTATGCTGTAAAGTTAACTTTACCGCACACTATGCTGTAAAGTTAACTTTACCGCATAGTGTGCGGTAAAGTGCTACTTTCCATTTGCAAACGCTCGTAGGTAAAAAAAATAATAGGTCTATTTTTTTTTAGAGTGACAGCGTGACAGTGACAATTCAAAATTGTAGGTTGAAGTTTAAATTAAGAGGTTTGTTCAGTAATATTAATATTTTTTGCAGATTTTTACATTTATTGGGTCTGACTGACCAGCACGGTCCCGCTATTCAACTGACTGACTAACACTACTGTTATTTATATGTTATATATAATATGTATAACGATTTTCAGCTTTAGTAAATTCGTTGCATTACCCAAGTTATCTCGACACCTTTAACAAGACACCCTGGGTCCTTGTCCCGTTTCGCTTGACTGACCGCGGTATGTTTATGTACGTAAATATTGTAATCGACTGTCCAAAAACTAGCTTTAGTAAATTCAGGGAATTTTTTCGGCGCTGGCTCTTAGACTATAACGAGGAGCACAGTTTGGCAAAGAATAATATACGTCCTCAACGTATACGTAAACAGCCAGATCGCTTACAATATCAATTAGTTAATTAGTAGTTAGAATTTAAGTAAAGTTCGTTTCACCAGGGTTCATACTTGAACATGAAACTTGAAAAAAAAAAGGGTTGTCGTAGATTATTTCATATGACACATTCAATTTTTTTGACAAATTAAAATGAATTACTTCTATGGTTTAAGAACCGACGAACGTTTTTGACGTTATTGATTTGTTTCAGTCAATTTCTATTTGTTAAACAAGGAAGGCAAATGCTTGTAACAAGTATAAACCCTGGTGAAACAAACTTTATGTATTAGTCCTTTCACAATCCGATGTCCACAGTTAGGTACAGGTAAAAACACCTTTCAATGCTATTTGATAGGGAAAGGTGACAAATTTACCTGTACCTGTGGACATCGGATTGTGAACAGGATATACATAATTATATGTTTTCAGCAGTAGGTTTGTATTATGGTGGCGGGTGGTGTAATGTATTAGGATTAAGTATAAATATATATGGCAACCTTGCAAGGTTTAGTACCAGGGTCATTTTTTATATTTTCCCACCCCCTTCGACTTTTTTGTGCCACTGTGTATAAAAAAAATTTAAATAGGAAAGCTGTAGTGCTTGAAAAATAGTTCTCAGAAAACACAGTTTCGTTCATACAGGGTGTTGCAAAAAGTTTGAAAAACAAAAAAATATATTTTTTTAAATGGGACACCCTGTACATAATATCGTACCTGGCCGACCTTAGTGGGACACCTGGTATTTTAATGTCATTTCTGGATTCTGCGGAAAATTCTAGACATATTTCATGTATAATGTCACATACCTATCTTCAACTGTTTCGGAAATAATGACAGTAGAAAATTGACTTTTTTGCATCTTTGACAGACTGTAAAACCTAAATGGTTGATTTTTCAGCAAAACCGATCATACATGCTTTTCCTATTTTTTTTATAAAATATCATATGACACCAACTTTAAATTTAATCCATGACTGAAAATTCCAATTAAATTTAATCTCTGGTTAAATTCAAAGTTGGTGTCAAATGCTAGCTTATGAAAAGCTGTAGACAAGAATGTAAAATAGGTTTTGCTGTAAAATTAACAGTTTAGGTTTTACAGCTTATCAATGTTGCAAAAAAGTCAATTTTCTACTGTCATTATTTCCGAAACAGTTCAAGATAGGTATATGACATTATACATGAAATATGTCTAGAATTTTCCGCAGAATTCAGAAATCTCATGATATACAGGGTGTCCCGTTTAAAAAAATCTATTTTCTTTGTTTTTTAAACTTTTTGCAACACCCTGTATGAACAAAACTATGGGCGCGTTCTTTTATTCAGCAATGAATCCATCTGCTGCCAGCATTATTAGACAGACATTCCTATTTTCTATGAGCTAGACAAAGAAAGGCTGATTACTGATGGATCCACCGCTGAATAAAAGAAAGCGCCCTATGTTTCCTGAGAACTATTTTTCAAGCACTACACCTTTCCTATTTACATGTCTTTTATACACGGTGGCACAAAAAAGTTAAGAGGCGTGGGAAAATATGAAAAATGACCCTGTATGTACATGTTTGGAAAGAACCGAGGTAAAATTTATTAAAAACTAGAAGAGTATTTTGCGCGTTTGATATCCTCCCTATAAGGTACGAAACTAGTTTTCTGACTGTTTTCAACCAATGAAATTCTCTCTGACTGGTTTGTGATTTCTGCAAAAACAGACCTGTTATTTTACATTGAATAAGTCTAAAGGCCGTCGATTTTAAACTGATATTCCAAAGGAATGTGAGCTGGTGGCTCCCTATATTAGAACGCCAACGGTCACCCGACGTCACACCTGTTTTTGCCATAAGCTTCACCCCCTCGCTCCTCATACGGAAAGTGTCAGAATAAAAACGACGGACAATACGTGTAGAGACCATAGGCGTGTAGATGCACATCCCTGCCTGTAGGTATCTCAAAAACTAGTCATAGGATTGAGTTGTGCCCATAGTATATCCTATTCACAATCTGTAGTCCAAAGGTAAAGGTAAATTTATCACCTTTCCCTATCAAATAGCATTGAAAGGTGATAAATTTTACCTGTACCTTTGGACTACAGATTGTAAATAGATAATAGTTATTGATCAGAAAGGTGAGATCTATAACATACTAAAATTTAGTTATATTTGACCACAGTCAGAAATCCCATAAGAAGTGTGCGGGGTCCTTTACTTAATTTTGTGATAAGCTATGTTTTTTCATTGTGCTCCACAGAATTAAATTATAATTGGATTTGAAAGAATGTTTTTAAGCTGTGGTTTTTAACATGTAAAATCCTTATCATTCACTATCGTCATTAGTGACGAAAGTGACGTTTTCAGCTATGGTGAAATATGACAAAAGTTGTTTATTTTTAAACGGTCATAGAAAAAATGTTTTATGGAACCCAACTGACTTTAAGGGCTGCTTAAAGTATACTTTAACGAAAAGTGTTTTTTTCTTAAAGCTGACCTAACATCATATTTATGGAACTGGCTGTTAGTGAGACAAAGGAATAATAATAATCAATATTTCGTGCTATCGTACTACATTACGTATAAAATTGTTTGTATGCCTCAAAGTATAATGTTACCCCAGTGAATTAAATAATTGATGGTGTCTGAATCCTTAATTTATCCCGAGATTGATAATTGTCATGATATTTATCACCGTTGCTCAACATTATATCAGTATCACTGCGTATGTTAAGTGCATCCAAGATGTAAGCTATAAGATATTTAAAAATTGTCTAACCTTTCATTAAGTTACTTGAAGTGTTGGTCTTAATTAATTCCTCTAAATCAGCAGATAGTTTATTCTTTAGGGCTTCATTTTCTTTGGCTAATCCGAATGATATTTGTTTGGCATTTGATATATCTTGTATTGAACGTTTGATATAACCACTATATCTTTCTGTACTAGTAATAGTTGTGGTACACCTAAAAAAAGTTTTTTATTATTTAAACTTTTTCAGAAAACTTAGAACTCACTTGGGGCAAGTTTTGAGCCCAATCATGTCGTCGTTTTGATTCAACCAAGTTTCCAATCCTGATGATTCTAGAACATGATTGCAATCTTTAAGGACAACGAAAATTGCATCTTCATCTTCTTCCGTTCCGAAGGTTATTTCTGTCAGTTCTTCCTGGTCGCAAATACGACACAATGGTGGACAAGGATCGCCACAAAAACCGACGCATGGGTGACCGCATTTTAAAGATTTTGGACATCTGTGACCATAAATTGGATTTTTATATATGTACGTACATATAAAATCATATAAATAGAACAACAAAAAGATTAAGTTGAAAATGGAATGTTCATACTTACTTTTCTTTACAGGGATCCACGTTACAAATTTCTCCACAGAACCGCCTACATTCTACATGCTCACACTTTCTATTACATGGAGCTTTACACGGCGTACAAGGTTCGCCGCATTTTTTGGTGCACTTGCTGTGAGTGCACCTTATTCGACAAGGCAAAGAACACGGTTTGCAGGCCTGTCGACAAGGAATCGGACATTCGTGATTGCATACAAGCCTCACTCCACATTTTTCAGTACATCTTCGATGTATACGACCCTGCATGCATTCGCCACACGTGCCTGAACAGAGATGTGGCAAATTGCGAGTTTTACACTTGAGTTCCATCTTGCACGGCTCAGTACAGTACTTCAATAGGATTTTGGAATCAGCTGAAATGATTTTTAATGATTGAATTTTGTCAAAAATTGATTTTGCTTTACAGATTATGATTGTTGAATCCATCTCCAAGAATAATCTGTCACTAACATGTAAATAATAAGAGATGCTATGAATATCCACTGACCTACTACCAGCCATTTTTTTGTACGTTATACGATATACTACTGAATATGCTGAATGAATGCTCAAAAAAAAAACCGATTTGTTTCTACATTGATTCAAGCTTAGTTACCTTTATGTTTCATAGTTTGAGGTAACTTTGATAGAAAATGTGAAAGAAAGCAACTATTTTTAGTATTTGATTGTATCAATAATTTTTTTCAGATAGATCTTTAATAGGATAAATATATTATCCACAGCATCTCAAATCACGAATACTTACTGGTATTTCTCAAATGGCACATAATTTTTTTAACGTCGTGTCCACAAGGTGCTCGTATGAGACAATCAACCATTTCCTGGCAATTTTCGGTGCAAGTTAATTTACAAGCTCTTTTGCAATCATGGCCGCATTTAAGCACCCTGGGGCATTTTTGGGAATGGCACAATTGCCTTTCCGGCTTTTTCCAACACTGAATTTTGACTGTGTGATTGCAATCAGGAATGGTCTTTGATACCTAAAATTTTTTGATTAATTTTCTTCCAGCATTTGACTCAAATCAGTTTTGGGAGTTCACTTAATATGCTAAACAGAAAAAATACTTACCACTACTTGACAAGGTCCACAATCTTCAAAACATTTGCTCTTGCAAGGATGGTCGCAGGGCAATTTCTTATTGCAACGTCTTTCGCAAATAATGTCCTCGACATTATCTCTACAAGGTATATCATAACAATGGCCGCAAGACTTCATTTTCCTCACGCAAACATAACATTTTTCGCAATCCTCATAACAGAATCTGTTACACATGTGCTTTTCGTCTTCAGATTGTTGACAACCTTTTCGAGGTTTGTCGCATTGTTTTGTGCATTTGTACTGAAACATAATTATAATCAGATCCAAGCAACGCTCAAGTAAATTGTACCCTATCAGCATAATCGTTAGTTATATCATTGTATAATAAGAGAACTCTTATTATACAATGGTTATATTAACAGAGTAGTTTGATTTTGATCTAATACTGATACAATATAATTACCAACCTTCAAATGATCAGGATCAATTCTAATATGACAGTTTCTCTTACAAGGATGTCCGCAAGGTTCCACACGCGTATCGCAAGGAAACGGACACAGAAACGTCGCAGGATCCTCTGAACAAGGCTTCATAGCTTCGTGATCGCACGGCAACTTAGTATGTACCAGTACTTGGCATTTGTACTGAGTCGGATCGATGTGACATTCTATGTCGACTTCGTGGCCGCAATCCAGTTTTCTGGATACCAAATAGCAGCAGGGACCACAGTTCATATAGCAGAGTTTCTTACAGACGTGAGAAGTGTTGTTACATAGTAATCTTAGGAGCAGAAATTTATAATAATAATGAAATAAATTCGGAATTTTGAAACTGGTGGTCATGTTATTCTTAGTGTGACAAAATATAGACATATTACCTGTTGCATTTTTCAATACACTCATACAATTTATGGTCTCTGTCTTTTACATGGCATAAGCTTTTGCAAATATGTCCGCATGAAATTTTAGCTTCGCACAACAAATCGCAGCCTCCTTCGCTCAACTTAACAAAATCTTCACCAGTATTGACCTGGGTTAATCTATGCAGGTGCACTTGACATTTTAGAGTCAAATGAGTACCGATGGCGTTTTGTTCATCCAATACTGCTTTGATTTTTTCCCAAATCTAAAGAAAAATATAAATTGAAATTATTGTCATTAGGTTGTTGTTTTACCTCATTTTCGCTGCCACACTTCAATAGCAAATTCATATTTCCTATTATGTAAAATCCATCTCTAGCTCTGGATAAGGCCACGCAAACTCTATTTTGAATCTTCAGGAAACCGGCTTTGTCTTCAAAGTTACTTCTGACCAGCGATAGCAGAATAATGTCGCTTTCCTCGCCTGAAAAACTGCGCTATTGAAAAAGTTACTATCCATAGACTGTTAAAATCAGACCAAAAAAGAAAGGCCTAGTAAACAATTTTTAGATCAAATAATAATAAACTCCACCTTGATAATTATCCAATACACTAATGCGAACATCTTGTAAAAATTGATAATTGCCAGGTTTCTTTTTCTCACGAACCATTTCGAAATACTGACCCAAGTAGGGTGTCAAAATGGTGATTTGTTTGGATTCATAATCATTTAAAATTAAATGGCGAGCCAAGGCGATGATAAACTTTGACTCGTGTACGTTTTTCTTGCTCTCATCTGAGCATGAATCTTCTGGCTCTTGGTGATCAATAAAATAGAGACATCTATCTATGCCTGAAATAGTTTGTTTTTAATTTGAATTTCTTAACCAATCAGTTTTATTACCTGCAATTGGATTACGTTGCAGCGTAGATTCATGGTCCATCAAGTCAGGATAAATATGAGGTTTGACGAGTTTTGATATTTCTGGCCTCATACGATGTTGGACATTCAGCGTATGACATCTGATGTTATTTATTACCATTCTTTCAAACAAACTTATACCTGAAAAATGTATCAAGGATTCGTACAATGAGAGTGATTTCTATAAAAACAGACAATATTTACCAAGTTTATATTTCACTTCAATATTATAATCAGCAGCTGAAGGTTTTAGCTGCAGATGATCGCCAATCAGAATTAAATGCTGACAATGATTGGTTAAGGCCGCCACTATGTGAGCCTCCAAAACCTCGGCAGCTTCTTCAACTATTACAATGGGACTTTTTAACGCCTAAACCAGAAAAAAATTACCATTTTGCCATGTTGAAATTTGTTAATATTACCTGTAAAGATGATTGTAATCTGGCAGCTCCAGTAGTAGTCATTCCAATGACCAAGTGTTCTGTCATAAGTTCGCTATCTTCTATATCACGCAATTCAGTGTACTCTTTATACAAGGTGCGAAAACGAATGCTGCTTTGCTGGTATTGATTCCTGAAGCAAAATTAATATATTTACTAATTAAGGAAATCAAGAGATTCACCTCAGGTGATTTGCATAAAGACTTGTCCAATAGTAATAAAGATCCCATCTGTCGACTGAGCGCATATTAAATGGATTGATAAGGTCAACATCGCGGGGTTTCCTTATCTGACCTACATCATTGTAACGCGCCATCTGAGCCTAAAAATCAAACAAAATAATAATAATAAACATACAGTTTTCGTTTTACTGTAAGATAATCCAGATCAGTTTCTGTTTCCCAAAGTTCCCATTCGAGTTTTTCACAGTGCAACACAGTTTCCAAATCTTTTGGGTATTTTGGTAAACTAATTAATTCTTTTCGAAGCATTTCATATTTATAGTTCAACTGATTCAAAGTTAATAAAGGTCTCCGAGTCTTTGTTGTGATGTCAGCAAAAATATCGTCCAAAAATTCAAATTCTGGTTCATCCTGATCAATATCTTCTGGATTTTCAGTTGACGCGGGACCTTCTTGGACCTGAAAATACGAATAATACACTGTAGCAGATAAAAATTAATATTAATTATAATAAGTTACCTGGTTCAAATTATCTCTTTCCCTGGCGGGCTGATTATTACCACGTCTTTTTTTACCTTCCAACAGCCATTTTTTGATATCATCAGACTTAGCTTTCCCAAACCAAGTATTCTTTAAATTTTTTACTACTTCAAAAAAGCAGTTAACTTCCAATATACTTTCATTTTTATCGATGTCACTCAAAATATCACTTAAAGTCTTTAGTCTTTCCATATAATCTCTAACTGCCCATCGTTTTTGTTGAACCGCCGTATTATGGTATGCTCCAATTCTTCTGCTTTGTAAATTAAAATTTTTAAGTGCCTCATTCTTAGATCGGCTTCCCACTCTGAGTATTTCATCGGTAATTGGTAATAAGCCTTCTAGAAACTGATCTAAGGCGTGATTGGTATAGCAAATGACTAAAATAGGACTACGGTTGTACCAAACGCGTTTATTTTCAAGCAGCGTTTGTGCAATTTTCAAACCTAAAGTTAATTCCATTAAATGTTGTATATAAGCTACAAAAATTTACCCAAATAAGTTTTTCCTGTCCCAGGCGGTCCCTGTATAATTGAAAACTCATCAGTGAGAGCACCCCTAAAGGCACTTAATTGTGAATCATTCAAATTATAGAACCTTGTCGGAGGAAAGTTTAAGGGCTTAAAACTTTGCAATTCCACAGTATAGTTAACATCTGTTGGTTTCAGGAGATATCTTGGTGGACGAGATCCAGTTTCCACTCTGATAATGTAAGGTTCCATCGGAAATGTATCTGGTTTCATGTGTTGGAGTACGTTTAGTACTTGGTAGTATGGTTCAAAATAAACACGAGACTCTACCATAAGATAATCAGACTCGAAATTTATCTAAAAGGGTAAATGGGCGATTACCTAAATTGTAATATAGCTTTGGAGGTAAGTAACCTTTCCAAATAATCAAATGAGATAAAACATAGAGGTCTTGGCAGGTTTGGGATTTAAAACAATAATAATTGGCAACTAACTAATGGGAGGAATATCTATCTAATTACAAATTGGAGAAATGTCAATCAAACATTTCTTGTACATTTTTCACATCAGGGTCGAATTTATAGTCACTCTTGGAGGTTTCCTTAATTTCCATTAGGAAGTCTTGAAGCCCCTGCTAAACTAGTTACTGTCAAGACTAACGGAATCCTCAAGAAACAATTTGAAATTTGGTACTTAATCACAATATTGAATAGTTTTTAGCCATATCTAAAGTTATACATAGGCACAAGGTGTTTTTTTGTCTATAGCCTTTACCTTTACAGGTAGAAGAAAAATGTAAATACAAAAGTTGTACAGTATTGGCTACATTTTTAGAATCCATGGTCAGAAACAAAAATTGAATGTCAGAAATGTGAAATATTGCATGCTTTCAGATTTTTTAAATGGGATGCGCTATATTTGGTTCTATATTCTTGAAGAGCATAATTTCCCAATTCCAAAACTATATAGTTTGTCTGTATTTGGTTGAGCCGTCTCCAAAATATTTGGTTCTAAAATTTTTTAAAATACTATCAGAGAAACCAAGTACCTCAAATTTTACCTATTGCTTTCACCTATACAGGTAGAATGGTTCACAAAATCAGTAGTGGGATAGTATTTTTACAATTTTTGGAGCCGAATATATGAGAGATTGCTCAATCAAATATAGATCGGGGTATTGCGCTCTTCAAGAATATAGAATGAAATATAAGGCATCCCATTTGAAAAAAGCTGGAAGCATGCAAAATTTCACATTTCTGACATTCAAATTTTGTTTCTGACCATGGTTTCTAAAAATTGAGTTGAAACTGTACAACTTTTGTATTTACACCTTTCTTCTACCTGTAAAGGTAAAGGCTGTAGGTGGGGTGTCAATATATAAAAGAACACCCTGTACACATAAGTGGATTATTGCGGAACTTATGGGTGGACCTCTGCGGGACGAGCGCAGCGAGTTCCGCAGCCATCTATTCACCAATATACTGTTGAACTATTCAAAGAAGACACTCACCTGGAACGTATAGTTTTTGAACTAATGAGAATAAATGACATTTGAGTGAGTTAGGTATTAGTAAATAGATGACTGCGGAACTCGCTGTGCTCGTCCCGCAGAGGTCCACCCATAAGTTTAGCAACAATCCACTCGTTTGTACTTGAATAGCTTGTCACATTATATTACTAGTTTGGTAAAGTAACATTACTAATTCCTGTTAAAAGGCAAATTGACAAAAAGTGGATAATCTTACCAATTCTGATTTCATATAATAAGTTATTGTTCAATTGTACAGGGTGTTTTTTTATATATTGACGCCCCACCTACAGCCTCCATCTTTACAAGTAGATGAAAGCTGTAAATACAAAAGTTGTACAGTATTGGCTAAATTTTTAGAATCGATGGTCAGACACAAATACATAGAATGAAATATAGGGCATCCCATTTGAAAAAAGCTGGAAGCATGCAAAATTTCACATTTCTGACATTCAAATTTTGTTTCTGACCAAAAATTCAGCCAAAACTGTACAACTTTTGTATTTACACTTTTCTTCTACCTGTGAAGGTAAAGGCTGTAAGTGGGGTGTCAATATATAAAAAAAAAAACCCTGTACATTAGATAAACCTACCTCGACATCCTGATGAAAACCAACAATCAACAATCCCTGTTCGAGTAACTTGACATCTCTCTGTACAATCTTACCAAAAAGTAAACTTTGAAAGTTATCATTTGTAAAACAAACCAACGATCCAAACATAAATTTCTTAGAATTTTCATAAGTAAAACTCCGTTTTTGCTTACTAAAATCATAGCGAATTTTGTAACAGTTAAATTCGTTCACTGTTTCGACACTAATAAATCTGATCCGACGATATATTTTAATATCATCTAGTTTCTTCCAATCTTCTTTCGGTTTGGGTTGGTTTCTGAGATGAGTGCAAATACCTCTACGTAAAGGGGCTACAAAATCTTCTCGCAACAATCTGAATTGAATATCCAAATACTGGTCAACACTGTTATAAGCTTTAATGATCTTATTTTCTCTCAAAAACGGAAATGCGTCACTAACAACCTCTTGGGGACTTGGTATGATTGGAATTTGACGAAAATCATCCGGGGGCTCTATATCTTCATCTACAGGAATATTATTCCTTACATTTGGCTTATCCATCTCCACGTTATTAACTTTTTTCTCAACTATAGCATATAAATTTTCAGTTTGTGTTTTGATACTGTCCAGAATTTGTATTGAGTGAGCATCTTCTATCAGAGGAAAGTAAACCATCATTGTTTTTAACAGTTTCATTATAACATCGCAATAACTTGGTGTTATTTCCAGTACAGTAGTCGAAATTTTGATCAAAGCATTCCAAAATTCGTCGGGGTCCTCCCAGAACTTTCGGTTAAACTTCTTTTCACGCGGGCTCTAAAACATACAAAAATATAATTTCAGAAATGACTAATAATAGTTTACCTGAGTAACGATTCCATTAATATAAAGAATCAACTTTTCCATAAATCTACTTTTCAAAACCAAATTTAGTAGCGCAAGTTTATTATTATCGAATGTAGAGCCGCATATATTTCGAACAAGCTTCACCACTAAGACAATCATGTCTTCGCACATTTCATTGGCGTCAATTAATTTCTTGAAACCGTTCTTATCATTCGACATGTCTAAAATCACTTGCTGAATCGATGGGTTGCCGACTTGTCTTTCGACATATTTAAAACCCATAGTCCTTTCTGGTCTGGGTTGTCGATAAGCTCCATGACTAGAATGTCCTGAACGAAATTCTCCGTTGTTCGATCTGTTGTCATTAGCCCTCTCATTTCCTCTTCCTCTTCCTCTTCCTAGGAGAAGGAATAACGTTTTAATTGATTGATGCATGTGGATATCAATAAGTAAAAAATAATATCCTTATAATATTCAAGTTCCTAACTGATTGCCTCGGAGAAAAAAATTGATATCCTAGGAGAAACTTAGGACACACGTAAATTTACCAGCTAGTAACTAAATTTCCACAAAATGGTTCTGACATTAATGAAAAAACTACCGGAAGTAACCTAATGATAATAAAAGCAGCGCAAATTAATTTTTTTGCCAGTTAACAATGAATCCTCGAATGAATCTGACTCGTTAAGTATAGTTATGGGAATCGATTGATAAATAACTGATAGGATATTGAAAGTTCCATACGTTTATGCTAATTGCATGTTAGAGGGCATTGGACGATTATTTCTAGAGGGAACCTTTGAGGTGGTTCATGAATTAGAGAACCAAAAAAATGCGCAGTTATCTTTAAATGATCGATGCAACGAAATCCATATATTACATGTCTCAAAAGATGGTGTACCTCCTGAATGGCAATCATACCAGTCTCCAGAGCATAAAAGTCTAAAGAATAGAGAAGGTCTTATGAAATTTGGGACCGACAGAAGTCAATTCACAAGAAATAAAAAAAAAATAATTAATCTTATCTCTATGTAGTTTCCTAGAGACGTTATTTCCTTCTTCTTATTTCAACTAAGATATACCTGACCTACGCGATAAGCAACATAATATTATTTGAAAATAAGAAGTTCAAAACTACCAATTTGGATTTGTTGAAAAATTAAAAACCAGTAAATAAGTACCTAGTCTTATTTCTTAATATTAATACCTTGTCTTGTGGTATTTAAGCTATGAGGAGATCCACCCCTTCCTCCAGATCCTCTCCCTCTGCCTCTCCTGCTCCCACGGCCTCTTTGTGGTTCCTGTTCCTGATGTAGTCGATGTAGATTAACCAAAGACTGAGAAATTCTAATCAATCCTCCAGATCCTTGGTTTTTCTGGGCACTACGGCCTTCTTTTGGAGTTACAGCAAGGTGCAAGCCCCTGTTCTGCTGTTGTAATCTCGGTTGTGGATCAACTTTCCCTGATTCAGTCTTCCTGGATGTTGTTTCAGGTCCTCTCTTTTGGTCTTGTTTTCCATTTCTGCCTATTCCTGAGGATTCAAGACTAAGACGCAAGGCCCTCGACTGTCGTTCTATGTCCCGTTCTAGATTAGTCATTGACTCAGAAAGTCTGGTCCTAGATCCTCGGCCTTTCTGGTCACTATGGCCTTCTTTTGGAATTACAGCAATGGGCAAGCCCCTCTTCTGCTGTGGTTGTCTCCGTTGTGGATCAACTTTACCTGATTCTTCAGCCTTTTTTGATTGTGCTTCAGAACCTTTTTCTTGGTCTTCTTTCCCATAGCAACTAAATCCTGGAAACTCAGCCATTATGGAATTTGATCCTTTCTAAGTCATAGTATTGCCTGTAATTAGAAATAACAGGAACTTAATAAAACGTGACAATTCAATACCTATAACTTGCATTCCTTAGGGCCGGTATTATAAAACTGCTTTCACAGTTAACTTGAAGTTAACTTTTTGAATTACATGTAATTCCAGAAGTTAACTTTAAGTTAACTCTCAAAGTAGTTTTATAATACCCGTACTTGGGTATACATAGGGCTTAGATTAGATTAGATTTAATTTAGCATTGAAGTTATTGTCATATAAAGTGGCGCTTCCGCCATGGCGTACAGACAACTGAGTCTAGATTTTACGTTGCTCTTTGGGAAAAAGATTTATCGCGTCTATTATGGATTTTGCAGGAATAGATTGCGGATATACAGGATGTCCCACGAGGTTTTTCTCTCCCCTAAAGTAAAAAATATTTTTCCAAAATTTTCTATTGTATCAGAATTAGGTGCTTTTTAGGTGCTCCTAAATAGTCGAAAAAAAAAATAGAATTGATTAATTACTAACTGAGTTACAGATTTTTTTTTAAATTATTAGGGGACTGCTGGCCTTACGTCTACTTGTTGGTGTGTCAGAATGGAAAAAAAACTTCGGTATCAATATAATAATTAGGTGCTTTTTAGGTGCTAATTAGGGCCTCTAATTAAAAATTAGGTGCTCCTTTAGTTTTTGAGAAAATAAAAAAAAAACTAAGGAATTGCTAGGTTTATGAAAGCTAGTACTCCCCTATAGTAAAAAATATTTTTCCAAAATTTTCTTTTGTATCAGAATTAGGTGCTTTTTAGGTGCTCCTAAATAGTCGAAGAAAAAATAGAATTGATTAATTATTAACTGAGTTACAGATTTTTTATTAAATTATTAGGGGACTGCTGGCTTTACGTCTACTTGTTGGTGTGTCAGAATGGCAAAAAAACTTCAGGATCTATATAATAATTAGGTGCTTTTTAGGTGCTAATTAGGACCTCTAATTAAAAATTAGGTGCTCCTCTAGTTTTTGAGAAAATCAAAAAAACTAAGGGATTGCTAGGTTTATGAAAGCTAGTATTTACCGACTCCTCTATAGTAAAAAATATTTTTCCAAAATTTTCTTTTGTATCAGAACTAGGTGCTTTTTAGGTGCTCCTAAATAGTCGAAGAAAAAATAGAATTGTTTAATTATTAACGGAGTTACAGATTTTTTTTTAAATTATTTGGGGACTGCTGGCTTTACGTTAACATGTTGGTGTGTCAGAATGGAAAAAAAAACTTCGGTATCTATATAATAATTAGGTGCTTTTAAGGTGCTAATTAGGGCCTCTAATTAAAAATTAGTTGCTCCTCTAGTTTTTGATAAATTTAGAAAAAACTAAGGGATTGCTAGGTTTATGAAAGCTAGTACTTAATCCCCTATAGTAAAAAATATTTTTCCAAAATTTTCTTTTGTATTAGAATTAGGTGCTTTTTAGGTGGTCCTAAATAGTCGAAGAAAAAATAGAATTGATTAATTATTAACTGAGTTACAGATTTTTTAAAAATTATTAGGGGACTGCTGGCTTTACGTTTACTTACATGTTGGTGTGTCAGAATGGAAAAAAACTTCGGGATCTATATAATAACTAGGTGATTTTTAGGTGCTAATTAGGGCCTCTAATTAAAAATTAGGTGCTCCTTTAGATTTTGAGATAATCAAAAAAAAAACACAAAGGGACTGCTAGGTTAATGGAAACTAGCAGTCCCCTAAAGTGAAATAGCTATTTACCTAACAAGTGCAGAAAATGAATTTTTCCGCACTGCTGTCAGTGCGGAAAAAATTCTACCGCACGGCTTTAAAACAAAAAAAAAAGAAAAATTCTACATTTTTACGCCTGTAGGAAAAATATTGTACCCAACACTTGCGGAAAATATTTTTCTGCACTCGCTATTTCACCTTAGGGGACTGCTAGTTTCCATTAACCTAGCAGTCCTTTTGTTTTTTTTTTTTATTATCTCAAAATCTAAAAGAGCACTTAATTTTTAATTAGTAGCCCTAATTAACACCTAATTATTATATAGCTCTCGAAGTTTTTTTCCACGTTGGGACTGCTGGGTTTATAGACCTAGTAGTGCCTTTACAGAGTGTCAAATTCCATGAAATAATTTTTCTGATGCTGGGAAACTTTTCACTAAAGGAAGATCAATTTTCAAGTGCAAAGTCTCTTCATTTAGCTCTAAAGGGAGAGTGTTTTCTTTTTCCTATATTTAGACTATATCAGGAAAAAAATTAGAAGAGAAAAAAGGGAAATTAGTGTTTCCGTAGATACTATAAGGAAAATCAGTAATTTGATATTAATTTAAAAATTATCTGTTTTTTGACAATATTTTGGTTTAGTTGGCAAGTTTGGATTTTGAGCATCAATGAAAAGTCAAATTGAAATCTTTAGGCAGTATCGCCTTATCACACAAAAAGTTCATTTACATACAGGTGACACTTTAAAAACCTTAGAGCTTAAAAACTTACAATGGTTACCTATATCTAATTTAAGGAACCAATAAAAAAATTGAAAAATCGCTGAAAAAAAATTCTATAATGAGGAGGGGGAACCAAAATGATGTAGGTACCTATTAACTGGTGATAACAACCTGTTTTCACTTACCCTCTCAGCCCCAGCCACCCCAACTAAATAATCCTTTCCTTTCAGATAAGGTATCACAAGTAGGGGGTTGCTATATTTAAAATTAATTTAGTTGGGGGGAAGTGAAAGCACATTGGTTATTATATCATTTTGACTCCCCCTTCCTATTTTAAAAATCATTGAGCAATTTTTTTTTGGTAATCCTCAGATATATGTATATCCATATTAAGTCTTTAAAGTTTCACCCTGTATAAGTTTCATAGCGGCTGCAGAAGAAATTGAGAAAACATACAAGAAAGTGTGTATAGTTTATACGAAGTCAATTCGAACACCTAAAAAAAAGAGTCACATACCGAGTCAGCTCAATTTACCTATACCGGGTGTCTACGAGATTAGTTTCGCGCTGGCATTTGCTGTTTTTTTTTTTCAATGGCAAATATTTTTGGTATAGAGTATAGGTTTGAGAAATGTCATATTTTGACATATGTGTCAATGTTTGGTAACGTCCGGTTTCACTGGAAATGGCCCTAACTTCGTAATTTCAAATGGCATCCCAAGAACTTTTTCGCATTTTTGGGATCTGCGGATCATGATGTGTATGAAAACGTCAAATCTGAACATTTTTGAAGAAACTTAAGAATTTTGGATCAAAATTTATTTTTGAATAGGATGTGACTTTAAATTGTTTTTTTCAAGTCACAAGATCGTAAAAAAATACGAATGCCATGTCGCTATCCTTTGCTTGTTCTCCAAAAGCTTCCAAAGTTGTAAAAATCACATTTTACCTGATAACCCAATGAAATCAGTGAAATCACCCAACTTTCACAACAAGAGTTTTTTTTACCTTTTTTATTATAAAACTAATTATGCATTGAAACTTTTCATTTATGTCTTTTTTTAATTATTGCCATTGATATGAAACAATATTAATGGCTTTTTATGGTGTGATTCTTACTTTAGCGTTCAGGGTTAGTTTGGGATCGTCTTCGCAAATAAAGCTATTATTTTAACTGGTGTCCAGTTTGTTGTATTATTGTTTAAATTGACCTACTAATTCCATTCACCCTATGCTAGCAACCATTACAATCAAAATTGTGAACAAATTTGGCGTTGTCAACATATTCGTTAAATTGTCTTTTTTTTTAATTGCCAGGCAACGAAATTCTTATTAAAATGTCAAGTTTATTTTGAAAAAAAAAAAAAGTTCAAGTCATAGTCAAGTGTAATTATTATTAGTGAAAAAATGTGCAAGAAAGTAGAAACCGGCGTAGAAGAAGCAGCAGCGAATGCTTGAGCTTTATTGCTGCCCGAAAAATCGAAAGAGAGGTACACATTTATATATTCCAAGTTTAAAGAGTGGCAAGCGGTGAAGCATTTGAATATTGTTGATGAAAATGCACTTTTGGCATATTTCTTTGAGCGTTCCCAACATTTGAAGAGTCCAGCAAGTTTGTGGAGTGAATACTGTATGCTCAAGACAACATTATCCATTAATGACAGTATAGATATTTCTAAATTTCCAAAATTGAGAGCTTTTTTGAAAAGGAGAAACGATGGTTATAATCCCAAAAAATCAAATGTGTTTTCAAGGCAGGAAATAAAGACATTTTTGAAGGAGGCACCAGACAGTCAATATTTGTTGATGAAGGTATGAATATGGCTTTAGAACTATTCCATAAAACAGTGGTCTTTATTTTGTAGGTAGTTGCACTCATTGGCGTTGCTGGAGCATGCTGTAAAGACAAATTGCTCAAGATGACATTAAGTGACATTGAAGATAAGAGGGATGTGATAATAATAAAAATTCCAGATAGCAAGAATAAAACCAGACGTTCGTTTACAATTATCAATGATACTGAAAATAATATTGATTGCCTTGGTATATTCAGAAAATATGTTAACTTAAGGCCCAAGAACACTGATCATAGACGACTCTTTTTGAGGTATGAGGTAGGGAAATGTGTCAATCAAGTTGCTGGTAAAAATACCCTTGGAAAAGTACCTTATAATATTGCCAAGTACTTGAATTTGGACAATCCTGAGTCTTACACGGGACACTCATTTCGAAGAACTTCGGCAACACTTTTGGCAGATACGGGTGCGGATGTTCTCGCTTTAAAAAGGCACGGAGGGTGGCGATCTTCCACAGTCGCGGAAAGTTATGTGGCCGACTCAAGTGCAAATAAAGTAGATACGGCCAGAAGAATTCTAGGTAGCAGCGAGAATATAAGATTTGAATCCGCAACTCCCAGCACAAGTTCCTCTATGATAGTCGAGGATTCCTTTAGTAGTAAGGATTCTAATATTTTAAGTTCTTCGACTTCAATACAGGAAAGTATGCCTATGTTAAATGTAACTAATTGTACAAAAATGTTTCTTTTACTTTCAAAATTAAAAAGTAAATAACCATGAAGTATCGCATTTTTATATTACTAGGTAGGTAGCTATCTGTTTATGCTAATTTCAACTTTTGGACGTCTAATGGCCATTTGGGTACGCCATTTGCACTGACCATTTTAAGGAACCCTTAGCGATAAGTAGGTAATCTTTTAAAATGACAGTTTTTGATGGAAAAATGTCACTTTAAGGAATACTTATCGCTTAGGCTACCTTAAAATAGTGGGTCCAAATGGCCATAGGTATTTTCTATTTGTTTCAATAAAATAGTATCCTTAATTTGTTTTGGGTTTTTTATTTAAGAAGTCGAGTGTTTTTGTCACATTATTTTGACAGAGATATGAAAGCAATTTTCACCTTTCATATCACCACTTTTTTGACCGGGTCAAAAAAGTAACTTTTTTGGCCCGGACTGTAAGTGACACTTACAGTTCATGGACGTAGGTCAAAAAAGTCAACTTACAGAATGGGTAGCACAAAAAATTAAATTTCTACCACCTCGACAGGTGTTAACCTGCTGGATTTGCCTACCAGCATAGAAATTAAATTTCTGACATCTTGACAGAGATTAACAAAGTGGCGTTTTTTTGACGTTTGGAGAAAAAATAAATTATTGTCTAAAAATGTCTGGTGCATTGTAGGTGACTGTAGACAGGCGCCTTTGGCGGCCTTTGCATTGTGAGATAAATTATTATTGGGGTAATGGGGTAGCTTGCTCATGGACGTAGAAGAAATTAGAATAAGTTTTTTATTCGTTCTCGGCAATTTTACCGATGTTTTCGCAAATATTTTTTCATTCCTAGCGTGTGGCACGCCTATGCTTCATTTGATAAAGAAGATGCCGCCTAGACAGTATTTATGCTGTCACAAATTGAATTCGTATAGAATATAATAAGAGATTATTATAAAATTTTGAAAAACTCAATTTAGCATTCTAGCTTAAGGTTTTCAATGCCATTAAATTTGTGTGAAAGTTCAAGAGTGCGCAAAATTTTGCAGTTTTCAGCGGCTGTTAGCAACTGTGGCCAATAAGGCCTGATATCAAAAATTTACTCAATTTACATAGGTACTTACCGGAAAAAGTCTTGAACAATAAATTGCCCTCTACTTACACAAGAAATATTTCAACTTAACGCAAAACCAGCAAAAATCAGACAAAAAGTAAAACTAGCACACATTCACACATTGCTGAGTGAAGTTCTATTGTCAACTGAATGAAGTACCGGCAGAAAACTTGTTTTGTTTGGTAGCAACGGCGACTTCGTTCAACCTCACTTGGCTCAGTTTATGCAACCAACGCCCAAAAAGCGCTCATTTTATTTTTTTTATTATTTGAAACAATCGATTTATTAATTTTTAACATTGTATCACCTTACTGTTTCATTTATTATCAATAATACATTTTTATATTAAAAATTTATGATAGTAGAACATTTCAGAATGGTGGAAGAATGAAGATAGATAGTCAGACTGAATTAAATTAAGCAAATGAAAAAAGGCAAGACAGAAAGAACGCAGGAAGTAACAAGGACGGAGAATTACTAAATTCGGTTTACGCAGGGAAAATCTATTTTGCTGATCAGCAAATTGCTGATAATGCAGTTTTTGGCTGGATAAGCAATAGGGAACTTGCACATTAAATTAGATATGAAATAAATAATAAAATACAATAACAATCATCCTAATAAAAAATGATGCAATTAGGAAAAGGATATAATATCTCATCTCTGGTTTCCAAAATCTTCAATTGAAAATACCAAATAATTCGAAATTCTTGACGAGATCAAAAACGTATTTCTATGGGTCCTGACGTCACAAGGCAGTAATAATCGGGTCGCACCGCTGCCACGCCATGTGCTGCTGGTGTTGTCAATGTCAAATCTATCATAAACGGCATACATAACAACATAACCATAATCTAAATCTACTTGCTCGAAGGTCACTGTCAACCAAGGACTATGAACGGAATTTTGTTGCTCAGTGACGTCACACTAATCGGTCGTTTCAAATGGCGATGTTTCGAGCGTAACTTCAAATATTTATAAAAAAATTAACGGCTGATTTTTTAATGCTTGATATTTGGCATGACTATGTCTTTAGTGTAGTACAACACATTTTTGAAATAAAAAAAAAATGTGCAAGTTCCCTATTTAACCGAATGCGATCAGTTTGTAAAGTTGCGGTCAGTTAGTAGAAGTGATGTGAGCCATGCAAACAATTGCCGCCCCCGTCCGTATCCATTGCCGCCCCCAGTATAAAAAATACGCCTGATGTATTGAATTTTTAATCCGATTTGATGCGATCACTCAGGAAGGGTACTGTCAACATCAAAAATGATATGTAGAAAATGAACGCCGCCGTTGCCGCCCCCAGAATTAAAAATACGCTTGATGTATCGAACTTTCAATCCGATATGATGCGGTCACTTAGGATGGGTGCTGTCAACATCGAAAATCATATTTAGAAAATGAACGCCGCCGACCGCAGCCGTTGCCGCCCCTCAGAATCAAAAAAACGCCTGATGTATTGAATTTTTAATCCGATTTGATGCGGTCACTCAGAAAGGGTGCTGTCAACATTAAAAATGATATTTAGAAGATGACCGCCCCCGACCGCCGCCGTTGCCGCCCCCCAGAATTAAAAATACGCCTGATGTATTGAACTTTCAAGCCGATTTGATGCGGTCACTTAGGATGGATGCTGTCAACATCAAAAATGATATGTAGAAGATGACCGCCGCCGACCGGCGCCGTTGCCGCCCCCCAGAATTAAAAATACGCTTGATGTATCGAACTTTCAATCCGATTTGAAACGGTCACTTAGGATGGGTGCTGTCAACATCGAAAATCATATGTAGAAAATGACCGTCGCCGACCGCAGCCGTTGCCGCCCCCCAGAATCAAAAAAACGCCTGATGTATTGAATTTTTGAATCCGATTTGATGCGATCACTCAAGAAGGGTGCTGTCAACATCAAAAATGATATTTAGAAGATGACCGCGCCCGACCGCCGCCGTTGCCGCCCCCCAGAATTAAAAATACGCCTGATGTATTGAACTTTCAAGCCGATTTGGTGCGGTCATTTGGGATTGGTGCTGTCAACATCGAAAATCATATGTAGAAAATGACCGTCGCCGACCGCAGCCGTTGCCGCCCCCCAGAATCAAAAAAACGCCTGATGTATTGAATTTTGGATCCGATTTGATGCGATCACTCAGGAAGGGTGCTGTCAACATCAAAAATGATATTTAGAAGATGACCGCCCCCGACCGCCGCCGTTGCCGCCTCCCAGAATGAAAAATACGCCTGATGTATTGAACTTTCGAGCCGATTTGGTGCGGTCACTTAGGATGGGTGCTGTCAACATCAAAAATGATACGTAGAAGATGACCGCCGCCGACCGCCCCCCAGAATTAAAAATACGCTTGATGTATCGAACTTTCAATCCGATATGATGCGGTCACTTAGGATGGGCGCTGTCAACATCGAAAATCATATGTAGAAAGTGACCGCCGCCGACCGCAGCCGTTGCCGCCCCCCAGAATCAAAAAAACGCCTGATGTATTGAATTTTTGAATCCGATTTGATGCGATCACTCAAGAAGGGTGCTGTCAACATCAAAAATGATATTTAGAAGATGACCGCGCCCGACCGCCGCCGTTGCCGCCCCCCAGAATTAAAAATACGCCTGATGTATTGAAATTTCAAGCCGATTTGATGCGGTCATTTGGGATTGGTGCTGTCAACATCGAAAATCATATGTAGAAAATGACCGTCGCCGACCGCAGCCGTTGCCGCCCCCCAGAATCAAAAAAACGCCTGATGTATTGAATTTTTTAATTCGATTTGATGCGGTCACTCAGAAAGGGTGCTGTCAACATCAAAAATGATATTTAGAAGATGACCGCCCCCGACCGCCGCCGTTGCCGCCTCCCAGAATTAAAAATACGCCTGATGTATTGAACTTTCGAGCCGATTTGGTGCGGTCACTTAGGATGGGTGCTGTCAACATCGAAAATCATATGTAGAAAATGACCGCCGCCGACCGCAGCCGTTGCCGCCCCCCAGAATCAAAAAACGCCTGATGTATTGAATTTTCAATCGGATCTGATGCGGCTTCTTAGTAAGGGCGCTGTGTGTGATATACGTGTGAGTTTTGTAATTATTGTAGGTGGCAACCAACCTCTATGCACAGCTTTGTCAACTGACAAGTAGTACTTGTGGTGTCAGTTGGGTCGTCATAAAATTGCAAGTTGACAATCATAGCCCCTTGTGTTAAGATGTATTTTCTAATCTGTTATTAAAGTTATAAACTTTCTATGTTTGTTTGATGCCTCATACTTCCTAAACAACATACATAAAGGCCGGGACACATCTATCATGCATTCTTCCGATCCGACTCCGATCATACAATCAAGGTCCTTAGGGTGGATTTTCATGCATCCGTTTGTCCGACGAAATATGTCCGAAAAATCTTCTATTTTGACATATTTTTATACGATTATGTCAGAATATAATGTTTTTCGGACATCTTTCATCGGACAAACGGATGCATGAAAATCCCCCTCAATTCTTGGAACAGGGGAGCAGCGGAACACTCGTTCTCCTGGGAACGCTGCTCTGTGTTCCAAGAATAAGTACCCTGATTGTATGATCGGAGTCGGATCGGAAGAATGCATGATAGATGTGTCCCGGGCTTAACACTGTGAACATGAAAAATTTTATGTGGGAATTGATGTATTTCTATCAGTTTCTTGAACAAGGTAAAAGAAAGAGATGGAAATATACTCAGTGCGCGCTAAAAACGCCAAGTTGCTATAGAAGGCACGCCCAGTTAAAAACCGGCGTGGATAATACACACTACTACGACAGAGGTTTGTTTGTATGTGTTGTTCGGGGTAGCACTTCCTGCTTTGGGGCGTTCGATTATGAGCGTTTCACATGGTTTATCTGCCATAATCTGAAATATCACAGCTTAGTTCAAGTTAGTACGACACGAACAAACAAACCTCAGGATAGCCTATCCTCATAAGGCCTGTGTGGAACAAATCTGAAGCCCCCTACCTCGCCAAATCTCCAGTTGTGACGTAGGCAGCATGTCGTTTCTCGCCTTGACGTAGGCTGTTTGCACTACAAGTTATGATTCCGCGGGCTTTTGCTTATGCATACTGTTTTACTCATTAATTAATATTCTAAGTGCCGGTACTTTCGCTCTCATTTGACAGCTGTTAAACATTGACGAGGGGTTTGAATGTGCTCTAACCACATGATACTCACCTGGCCCATGCAAAACTTTGACGACGTATCAAATTCGTCAATCGAGAGTAAAAGTATTGGCCTTAAAACAACTTTTTCAGATCTTGTTTTCTAAGCAACCCTTGTAGTGTGTATTATCCTTGATAAACCGGTTCAGGATTTAATAGGTCTGTGTCTGCAGAAATCACAAACCAGTCAGAGTGAATTTCATTGGTTGAAACTAGTTTTCTGACTGTTTCTGACTGTTTTCAACCAATGAAATTCGCTCTGACTGGTTTGTGATTTCTGCAGCAGGAAACAAGCCTAATATGTTCTGAACTGGTTCGGAATCGGTCCAGAATGTGATCCGCTAACAAAGCTCGGTAATAATAATGAAAAGACGAGTTAATTTGGGTTGGTTTATCAGCGCTTCTCAGCGACATATTAACTTCGTTCCAACACAGCTGGAAACCCTATAATTTACTCTCGAATTTACCCAAGGATAATACACACTACACGAGGATTGCTTATCGGCCTATTTTTGGGATTCAAGATCATCTGGTGTAACACCGTTGCTACGACATCAACTATGTCGGCAGCTATTTGCGCCAGCGCCAGCGGTCGCAGTTTAGAATATTCAAGTAGAAGCCAGCGGAATTATAGCTTGTGGTGCAAACACCCTACGTTAAGGCGTGAAACAACATGCTGCTACGTCATCACCGGTACTTTGGCACTATTTCTCTTTCAACCCCCTGTAGATACTTTAGGTTTGCGGTGCAAAATTTAATAATTATGGCGCAAAATGGTGCAAAACTCAAGGAATAGTTTGTTCTATTATAAATTGAAATTTGACGTGTCGGGGGGCCAACTATTTCTCTTTTAACCCCCTATAGAGGCTTAAGGGTTGCGGTGCAAAATTTAATATTTATGGTGCAAAATGGTGCAAAACTCGGAGAACAATTTGTGCTCTTATAAATTGAAATTTGGCGTGTGCGGGGGGGGCCAACTATTTCTCTTTCAACCCCCTGTAGAGGCTTAAGGGTTGCGGTGCAAAATTTGATATTTATGGTGCAAAATGATGCAAAACTCAAGGAATAATTTGTGCTATTATAAATCGAAATTTGGCGTGTGGGGGGGGGGCAACTATTTCTCTTTCAACCCCCTGTAGAGGCTTAAGGGTTGCGGTGCAAAATTTAATATTTATGGTGCAAAATGGTGCAAAACTCGGAGAACAATTTGTGCTATTATAAATTGAAATTTGGCGTGTGGGGGGGGGGGGGGGGGGCAAATATTTCTCTTTCAACCCCCTGTAGAGGCTTAAGGGTTGCGGTGCAAAATTTGATATTTATGGTGCAAAATGGTGCAAAACTCAAGGAATAATTTGTGTTATTATAAATCGAAATTTAGCGTGTGGGGGGGGGGCAACTATTTCTCTTTCAACCCCCTGTAGAGGCTTAAGGGTTGCGGTGCAAAATTTAATATTTATGGTGCAAAATGGTGCAAAACTCGGAGAACAATTTGTGCTCTTATAAATTGAAATTTGGCGTGTGGGGGGGGGGGGGGGGGCAAATATTTCTCTTTCAACCCCCTGTAGAGGCTTAAGGGTTGCGGTGCAAAATTTGATATTTATGGTGCAAAATGGTGCAAAACTCAAGGAATAATTTGTGCTATTATAAATCGAAATTTGGCGTGTGGGGGGGGCCAACTATTTCTCTTTCAACCCCCTGTAGAGGCTTAAGGGTTGCGGTGCAAAATTTAATATTTATGGTGCAAAATGGTGCAAAACTCGGAGAATAATTTGTGCTATTGTAAATTGAAATTTGGCGTGTGGGGGGGGCCATGGTTAATTTGCCCCCCCCCCCCCCCCCCAGTAATACTTCCATCTAGTTTCTCTCCTGAGGGGGTGCAAAATTTTTTCGGGTGGTGCAAAACGGTGCAAAATGGGTGCAAAAAAATGGTATAAGTTTTAATCGATTTGGAAATATGGGGGGGGCTAACTTAACTGGCCCCATGAATAATAAGATATGAAGAGGCTAGGCGAAGTAGTATGAGAAAAACAGACCATCAGACAACAAAAATTCATCCTAGATGCACGGTGTGCACTCGATAACTTTTGCACTATCCATAAGAAGGAAGAGCTTACCTATGGGAAATTTCGAAAATAATAATAATATAAAAAATAAAATAAAACCTGGAGAATCGGTCAGATTTGAGGATCTGAATAATGTAGAAAATGAAAGAGACGAAAAACGTTAAGGAACAAAACATTGAAGAAGTCGAAGAGGAGCCTTGACGACTTTTTTTTTAATGAAAACCTCAAAAAAACTGTTCATTTTTTGATAGAAGGGATTTGTTCCTATTTTCCAATAGAAAAAACTATTTAAAAGCATATATTCGTTCGTTTTTTTCAACTGCCATTCATGCAGAAACCTTTTTAAAACATTATCGATGGGCAAAGTTGGTTATTAAAAGCAAAATTCGGCCTCTCCCGCAGGGCTTTGCCCCCTAAAAAAGGGGGCCCGCAGGGCTATGCTCTCGCAGCCAAATATAGGGCTCCACCCCCCAAATATAGGGCTCTCGCAGGGCTTCGCCCCCTGAACAGGAGCCCCCGCGAGGCTGTGCCCCTCAAAAAAGTGGCTCCCGCGGGGGTTCTCCCCCCAAATATGGGTCTCTCGCAGGGCTTTGCCCCCCAAATAGGGGGTCCCCAGATTTTATTATGGGTACCAGAAAAAAAAGTGTGCGGGAAATTTTCTTTCCCGCATAGTGTGCGCAAAGTAGTTACTATGCGAACACTTTGGGGAAAGGGCTTCTTTGCGTACACTCGTAGAAAAAATTGTTTACCAAGCACCACGTAACTATAAAGTCGGACAGAAACTAGATATTTTTTTGTGTTTTTGGTTTATGTGTGGTCGCCACGCCATCTTGAATGTCATGTGGCTTGGATTGCCCAAAGCCTAGTACTCATAACTGCGAAATTCGCATGTTATTGACTTTGCTTCGACAATTTGACGTTTGATACACGCATTAAACGTCAAATTGTCAAAGCAATGTCAAAAAAGTGTGAATTTCGCAGTTATGAGTACTAGGCTTTATGCGTGAATCGAACCTCAAATTGTCGAGGCAATGTCAAAAAAGTGCGAATTTCGCAGTTATGATTACTAGGCTATGAGTGAATGAGTCAGACTGAAGCAAGGATACTACACACTACTACAGGATAGCTTATCCTCATAAGGGCCAAATTATGGACCAACTGGTAAGTGTCTGGTTGTTACCTAGCAGGTACTTTCTATTCTCTAGTGCATAGAAAGTACCTGCTAGGTAACAACCAGACGTTTACCAGTCAGTCCATAATTTGGCCATAAGGCCCGTAGATCAAATCTCAAGCCCCCCACCACGTCAAAGTACCAGTGATGACATGCTAGGCAGCGTATCGTTTCTCACCTTGACGTAGGGTGTTGGCACCACAGCTTATGATTCCGCGGTTTTTTACTTTATGCATAGGTAGTTGGTTTTACTCTTAGAGCAGGTAAAGCGCTGTCCTACGGACATAAGGAGTAGGAACGCGCCATTCTTCTTATTATATGGGAGTTATGGGACAAGTGAACGCCGATTCGCTGCTGAGATCTGCTTGAAGCAAGAAAAGCAGTACAAATTAACAGCTTATAAAAGTGAACCCAAGTTCTTAGCAGGTGTTTGGCATCATATACAGGCACAGGTAAGGCATTGAAGTGCCTATACCGCCATTTTTTGGTTCCAAAATATCTGTAAAAAACGTTTCCAAACAGCGCGGAACGATGCTCATAACTGTCAAACTGTCAAAAATCAGAGCTTGAGCCAAGCACCCAAGTATGAAAACCAGGCTAACTTTCTAAAACAACCCTTTTTTAGTTTGCATCTTCCTCTTTGCCTATTATATTATGTTAATCAGAATTAAATAATATTTTTCATCATAAATTTAAATCTAAACCACGACCGCTGGCGCAAACAGCTGACGACTTAGTTAATAACGTCACCAATGGTGCTACACCAATATGACCGAGTTTACCAAAACCGAGGCAGATGAGCAATCCTTAGTAGTGTGTATTATCCTTGAGACTGGAAAGGTAATAGTTGTATACTTTCACACCTAGGAGAAGCTCCGGAACAGCTTCAAGGCATTTACGCGCTTATTCCAATGACATTTTACTAAAGTGAAACGTAAGCTTTGTTTCTGCAGAAATCACAAAACAGTCAGAGTCCATTTCATTGGTTGAAACTTGTTCTCTGACTGTGATGTCATTGGCTTAAGGGCCCCATACACTACGATGAAACACGACGGTTTTCATCACCACGATGAAACACGTCGTTCCAAAACCCAAGTGTGTGGTAGAAAACCGTCGTGTTTTACTACCACACACGTAGAGAGACACAACGGTTTTCTACCATGCATACACTTCGGTTTTGGAACGACGTGTTTCATCGTGGCGATGAAAACCGACGAAAACGAACGTAGTGTGTGGGGCCCATTATTCCTTTCGAGAAGTGTTTGTTGCACCACGCATCTATTCCTTTCAAATCGGAGGCGACTAACACCGAAGCGAGTAGTTCGAGTGTTCTAAACTCTTGAAAGGAATAAAACTAATATGGAAATACGTTCCATACCTATGTGAAAAAAACAAGAAAGGAGAAAGCAGGAGGCGACAAGTGTTAAGCTGGATTTATACAGGAAATAAAATAAAATAAAATAAGAAATAACATAACAAATAAGCAAAATAAGAAATAAGGCGTTTATACAGAAAAATATAAAATAAAATTAAAATTATTTTGAACCAATCACCACGCGCCTGAACTGTCATCGGTCTAATCTAATCGACGTCGTGACATGCGCAAATAGCATTTTCACATAAAATAAAATAAGAAGTTAAAAGTTAACCAACTTTTTATTTTTGCTTATTTGTTATCTTATTTTATTTTTGTGTATAAACGCCACCATGAGTTCTCATAAGGCCATCTTTTAATTTTATTTTATTTCTTATTTTATGTTATTTTATGTCCTGTATAAACCCAGCTTTACGTGTGTTATGTTGCAATTTGCACTAGGTGTTATTTTTTACGACGCAAGCGGGTTCTTGAACGCATCTAGATTGCTGTCATTCTACATAGAACAGAATCATGAAACTACTACTCGGGAGTAGTAACACCATGTTCTAGAACAATGTCAGAGTCGACTCTGGAACACAAGAGAAATGACACCTGTCTTTTTGATTTTGCGCATGAGCGTCTGCTGCCTGCGAGGTTGGGTTGGACTTCTCCATTTTCTAATTTCTATTATAAAATTTTCGAGATTTCAGTAATTTTCTTAGATAATTGAATATTTTATCATTTTTCAAGTGTGAAAATGAATTCTTTACTTAACTACGGAAGTGACGATAACAGCGACGATTCGGGAAAGGACAGATTTCCGGTAAATATCAAAATTATATAAGTTGATGTTGATTTTTGTTCTAGTTTATTGTCCTTTTTCCATCCCAATCCCATATGAGATATGGGTTTGTAATATAGGTCATACAACATCACAAATCACGCTAGTATTTCGAGCATATGAATTATGAATAATATCCTTTATAAAAAAAATATAAATAGTAAGGTATCTATTTACACATTTTGCTAGGGTTTCCATACGTCCGGATTTACCCGGACATGTTTGGGTTTTTAGGGTGTCCGGAATTCGGAACAATGTCCGGAAAACTCAGACATCGTGAAAACATTTATACTCACTCAGTTAGCGCACTATTTAAAAGACAGTAAAATTTTACTCCACTCATGAGTACGTAAAGTATTCACTTTACACACTAGTGCGTGCGTGCAGTAATGACAGATGTGGACATAGTCATTTTTTTCTAGTAAATTCAAATTCTTTAGTTTACGCACTGGTGAATTTATTTTTTTATACATATATTTTATTGATAGTAAAATTTTTTTTATACAAGGTGTACCATTTAAAACGAAACAGGCTAAATATCTGATGCCATGTTTATTATTTTTTTTAAATCGTTTGTACACCTAAGTTTGATTTTCAAAGGGGGAAGTTTTTTGCAATCATTTTCAGCATATCATCTTCAACCCTCTAGGCGGGGTGGGACCAACCCTCACTATTTCAAATGCAACAAGGGGTCGAGTGATACCCCTTTTCAAAAGAGTGTTCAATTCTCTTTTATTTGGTGTCATTTGGAAGAAAATTGAGCGTTCTTTTGAAACAGCTATCACTCGAACGCCTGTTCCATTTGGGTTGGTTCCACCCCTGCTAGAGGGTTAAAGTTAGTGCTGAAAATGTTTCAAACACTCTCACAATCAAATTACGTATATGAACGATTTAGGAAAAAAATAAAAATGACATCAGATATTTAGCCTGTTTCGTTTTAAATGGTATACCCTGTATATGCAATACGTGTGTAAAGTGAACCTTTTTTCATGAATGTAAATTTTGTCGCACTCACCTTTCACTTTACACACTTGTTGCATAAATAGCTATTTCGGCGAAGTCCGGATTTTGTCCGGATTTCTTGACTCCTTTGTCCTGAATTCCGAAAAACCTTTATGGAAACCCTACATTTTGCTTAACTTTCATAGGTACCTATTGTTGTTATTTTCAGAAAATAGCTGTATTCAGAAATACAGAGCCTTAATTTCCATATTTCTTAGGGTACCAACGTGTATTATATTCAGCCAATAAGAGGTACCTGAAAAAATTGCCCTTTAGTGTCCCTTTTGATGCTGTTTTGAATATTAGAGCAATTTAAATAAGAACGAATGTGATGTAGTTTGGGGGTCTATAACATTTCAGCCCTACATATAATTCAATTTTTTAAATACATAGTTTTACTTTTGGAAATTAATAATTTTTGAATATATTAACTGTCTGCAAACGCAGAATTGAAATTATCATGTTTGTTGCGCTAATAGAGCTATAGTTTATACTTCTACATCATGTTGCTGTCCATAGATTTAAAGGTTCTTATTGTCAATGGGGCTGACTAGGTCTATCCTTCATATCCAAGTATTGGCTGTTTTGATAACGATAACCAAGACGAATCACTCAATTATTAGGCATACTGAGTTCGAAATTTTACAAATTGATTGGATCTTGTCTTGTCTAAGGATTGGATGAATATGTAAGCCAAGAGTGCCAAAACAGATATTTTCATTTCATATGCATCTTGCTTGAGGCGTTTTCTCGCGTCCACTTTTTTGAAACTGATTCAAAACTGTTTTGAAACAGTACATTCTCTGATCTTGATCCATTATGTTGGAAACACCAAAGGCGTTTTCTCACGTCTCAAATGTTTCAAAACATTTTTCTAAACTGGTTTACGTAATGTCACTATGACATCATAATTTCTCGGCGCGAGAAAATGATTTGAAAAAGTAGATTGGATTGTATTTCGAAACGGTTTGAACCAATTTTGATGTGACGTCATGGGTTTATCGCGAGAATGTACTGTTTCAAAACAGTTTTGAATCAGTTCCAAAAAAGTGGACGCAAGAAAACGCCTCAATACTGTCCACGAATACTGGTATAACACTGTCACAAATGACATAACAGAAAATAATAATTCGAGTAATAATTAATACAAATCATACAAATAAATGTAAGCTGTAAGTACCTATTTATAAAAAAACACTACATCAATATTTTAAAAAACCGTAGGTACCTACCTAAAAACAAGTACCTACTGCGTACAACAAACACATTTACACTTTTCACATGGAATGATTTCATCTACTTTTGTCTGGTTCTTAAAAAAATCGAATATTTCAGTGCTCTAATAGCTTTTAAAATTTAAATATTTATTCACTTATGTATGTAGACTCTTGTGTAAATCAAATTACTGATTACATATTTATTTCAATGCAGCTCATCAATCTTGAAGTTTATTTTAATAAAGGACCCCGCACACCTCTTATGGGATTTGGGACTTCCGCAAAATTTTACCAAATTCTAGTATGTTATAGATCTCACCTTTCTGATCAATAACTACCATGGGCATAACTTAATTTGAAAAATTTAATTTAAGTATAAATATGAACCTTATAAATTCAAATATCAGTTAAATAAACTAATAATTACCTACTATGAACTACCAAAGGTATCAAAAATACTACTAAAACATGTAACTTTTATCATTTGATTTAAAAAAAATAATTAAAATTGTTGCAATGTTACCACATAAAAACTATAAAATATAAACTATAAAATATAAATTATAACTTGATTTGTAAATCAATTGTAAAACGAATTTAAGTATGTACAGTGAGTAATAACTTAAAATAGACACGTTGGTGAGGATAGTAAAAATAAACCATTGCTTTTACCACCTTTTTTCAGGTAAATGTGAGGACACGACAAATTTATTCCATAAAAATAAGGCATAAATCCTTAACAAGAACCTATATTTGCTTGTTCTTACCAGTATAGATGTCCAGCCAGATGTTTAGCTTTCACTTGTACAGAAACATCTTACAGATCACAGTGACATCTAGGCAGGACTGAATAATCTCGAGCACACTTTCTGCTTCTGATAATCAACTTTTCCAAATTTATTTGATTTATTCAATCAACGTTTGAGTTCTATTATTGTATAAATTGAATTAGGCCTTGATCAACAATTGTTTAAAAAACATTGTTAGTCTATAACCAATTAATTAATACACTATTTTGCCAAATATTAGTTAGATGACCAACAAATCTTTGACAGGAGATGCCTGGACATCCGAATCAAACATCGTCGAAGAACTACAGAAAACCAGCGTCACATGAAGACAACTATGAAGAAGTCGGAATGGACATGAGCGAGGTAATTTTAAATTTTTTTAGAATATATTCTTCCTTTTACCCAATACACCATACACTGATTTGATAACGAACAATAATAAAATGATTTGCCTTCTTGTTTTTTTAGTAGAATTCTAACTTTTTTTTTTATCTTGATTGTTTTTAAATGCATTAGTTTTTTTTAAAAAATCATGAATGCTAGCTTAGAATTCTGCTTTATAAACCAAAGTGAGCAAGACTGCAAAGTCGAGTGTATATTTTAAAACAATATGTGTCAAAGATTATTTTGATATTAACATTATCTGTTATAATTATATTGTAAAGACCTTGTATCGATCAATCGAATCGAGCCTACAACAATCGAGCGGCTTAAGATGAATACATGAACAACAAACTTCAATTTCTCGGTAAGTATTCCATTTAAGGGTTTCTTAAATTTGGTGAATGTCACTTTTCAATAAAGACAATTATAGGAAAATCGTGTTATTTTAATTTCATGAACATAATGGACAGACAATCTTATTTCTAGAGAAATGTCTCAAGGTTCATAAAATTAACAGGCTTGAATTTTCTATTTATGTTAGTATAATATTTTTTTGGTTTCAGTAAAACAACAAATTTAATTTTAAATCTAGAAAATATGTTTTTGAATTTCAGGGTATTGAAAGTTGGGTCATATTTATTAATTTTTTTCTTTATCTTTAAGTTTTCTTTAAAATTCTTTGATAATGACCAAAAAAAAAATAGGCAAATTTACGTGTCTATTTTATTTTTTTTGAATTTTTAAACAAAACTAATTGATTCTTTGCTTTATGTCGCGATAGAGCCAAATATCCTCACCTCAATCCCAACCTACAAAAAAAATACCCAGGCAAGCGGTTAAGACAAAACCGTTTCTTCTACAGGACTCCAACAGCTCCAGCGGCCCAGCAAAAGAAGCTTCCAAGTCAAACTATCCACAAAATCGGGACAATAGGAGCCGCAGTAAAAGTCCCAAATATAAACGAAGTGAAGATGATAAAAGAAATGGGAGAAACAAAGATGACAGGTTTAGAGATGATAGATCTAGTAGAAGGAGGGATGATGATAGAGACAGAAGGAGAGATGGTGAGAATGATAAAAGGGATGATAGAAATAGAGCTGATAGAAGCAGGAGAGATGACGATAAAGGGAGAGATAAGAATAGGGATGATCGGAGGGATAGGAGAGATGATAGGTTAGTGCCAGAGATCTTTTATTTTTGCATTTTAATAACTATTTAAATCTAGTATTATTAAAATTCGTCTCATTTTCCTATATTCTTTATTAAAGGTATAGACGTGATCGACGAGACAAAAGGCGTAGCAAAAGTCGCGACAGACGACGTTCTTCAAGATCGCCGAAAAGATCTTCGCCCAGAAGAAATTCAAGGTCCCCTAGACGGTCAAGGTCTGGCTCTAAAGACAAAGAATACAAAACTACAGGTTTCACAACAAGGCGAGAGAAAGCTGATAAAAGGATGGATAGACTGGGTAAATTGGGTAGGTCTAATAAAGCTTTTTTTACAATAACTCAATTTTATTGATTTGTTTTACAACAGGAATTGAATTTAAACCTGACAACTATCCAGCTTCAGCTATAGAAGAAGCTGAAAGAAACAGCAAAGACAATGGAAATAAGTTTTTCATGCCAGGAATAACAGGTTAATATTGCAATTTTGATGCTATTTTATAGTCTAATAAATGATTTTTCTAGGTCGTTTCAGAGATCAAATTGAAAAGCGAAAACTATTGTGGCAAAAAGCAAAAGAACCAGAAAGTAAACCAGTTGTCCAGTCAGTTGCAACATGTTCTACCAGTGCTATAGGTGGCGCTGGCGGAAGTAAAGCTACTAAAGTATATGAAGCAACAACTTTTGCTGACGGTAAGTTCTTTAACATGACTTATTGACCGCATATTACAACATCTCATATTTATCAAGTATTTGTTGTAACCGGTGTTGTTTTGCAAGTCAAGACTGTTTAATTGTCTCCTTTTATTTAGTGTGTAATTGGGTAAAACGTTTCTATTTAATTATTGCAGATCGAACCTCAAATAAATTCAAACGTCTCATGGGTATCAAAAAAACTGATACTGATTCTTTACCAGTGAAAAGTACAGATGTACTGAAAAAGCAACAAGAAATGTTTACTTCCATGGAAGCACAATACGAAGTTGCCAGAACTGCGACGCATACGATGAGAGGAGTAGGATTGGGCTTTGGTAGTTTTCAAAGATAATTCCCTTTTTGTATTTCGAATTTTTCTTTGAGTTCTTCGTTTGAAAATTGTGATTTTTTTTTTTAAGTTTTTTTTTTTCTACAATTGTGTGTATATTATTATGTGATTTAATTTTTGGAGCTCGGTTCTTAACTGCTTTTGTAATTGAAGGCTTTCTTGGTAGTGAGACAGGTTGAAAAAACTTTTTAATCTGTGACTTCCATGAAAAGTTTCACCATGATTATAATTTGGTGAATGGTAATATTTTCAGGCATGTTGTATATATTATTAATATGGAAAGTTCTATCAATTTCTCAATTTATTTTCTTATTAGCTGGTTAAAGAATGCAGTCGGCCAATGTGCTTTATGTAATAATGTTATTGATTTTTTGAATGGTAATAGCCTTGTTCCAACTCACAAGAAAACTGCAAAGAGGGAGGCCAATTGTTGCAAGCAATCCATAATCATAAGTTCAAGTTGTATTGAGCCAACTAAAACTGTTTCCTTGTGTGTTGGCACATATTGAATAATCATTAGGTAGATTTGAATAAATTTTAGTTAAAGAAACTTTGTTCTAAAGAATGAAGTTTAGCCAAATATATTATTTGGAAAAACATCTTGTAAATAGGATTTTCAAAATAGGAACTTAAACTAGCATAGTTCTTCTGGTGAATGTTTTACCTAGGATCATAGATGTCAAGGTATAATATTCCTCGGAAGAACTATACACATCATTTTCACACTCTTTTGTAGCAATACATTAGGACAAAATATTTGTGTAATGTTAAACTTAGTTAATAAAAAGCCTTAACAATTAATTATATTGAAGTTTTATTTCATAATAATTTACAGGTCAGTCATATCTTCAATTTTTTGCTTTATAAAAAAAACGATTTTTGTTTCAAAGTTAGAATTACTTTAGCATAAATTGATAATTACATGGGATTAAATCACTATTATATTTATATATACAATATAAATATCAGTGTATAATTTATACAAATTATGCAGTTTCTGGAGGAGTTGCACTGCCACCTTCAGGCTTGCTTTCTAAAGAGAACGGAGGGATTCTACAGTCAAAAGTGTAACCATCTTCACGTTCCATTCTGAATGTACCCCTAAAAAAATAAAGTAAATTTTTAAACTATTTTAGAATGAAAAGCAAATTCACTTACCACATATGGCCGCTGGGTGCTTGCAAACTTACATGGCTACTGTACTGGAAGGCAGGTAACGTTTTAGTTAAAGCCGGTTCTTGACCAACTACACCTCTTCCTAAAAAAAAACATCAGTTTATTTTCAAATAATTTTTGTTCTAATATTTCACCTCTGACAGTTTCTAAAGTCCCAGATAAAGAAAATATCCTCCAATGTCTTTCCCTAAGTTGAACGCTGAGATTACCTAAATTTTCCAATCTTATGCAGTATCTCCACTAAAAAAATAACAAAACAAATAAAATAAAAGCTTGTATTAGAATCATTTCACTCACCCAATAAACTGAATTAGCATGACTTTCTCTGCATCCCATATAAAATGGTATAACAGTTACCCTGATACTCTCAGTAGTCTCTTTGTGAACATCTGACAATTCTAACCAGGGATGATTTTTGTTTTGCCATGCTTTAAGGGTCTCTTGAGCAATAAATGGTGGATCTAAAAAATCAACAACTAATAAAAACAAATTTAATTATGTTGAAATGAATGTCTAAGATTACCTTTGTTTTGATTGGGCGCTAAAAATTTATCAAACAATTCGTGATGTAAGGGCGTTTTCTCTGCACTTGCATAAGGCATTATATCCTCGTGGGCTACATAATCTAAACCAGGAATGGCGTATAAGCTTCTTGAAGAGTCTTGGTTGCCAAGAAAAGTAACTGCTTCAGTTTGAGCTCTCTAAAATAGTAAGTTATATTTATTTTCAAAGGACTATGATGGAATATTTTGCTTACAATATATGGACAATCTCTTTGGTCAATAAGTACTTGGTAGAAAGTGTGTGTTCTGCCTCTTACTTCTTTTCCAACACCAGTGTTGGGTTCTTCATCACCTTCCCTATGTTGTGGTAAGTCTCTAGAAAATTGGAAAATACTGAGTAGGTATTGATTGTAGATTGTGTGGCTACGATATTGCACTCAAGGCTTTTGTCAGACAAGGAGGTTTATGAAATTGTCCCTATACAACTTCGTTTTTCAGTTTTATATACAATCAATTTGGGGTATTATGTTATATGTTGGGCAGTCAAATACGTCGACTGTAAGAGTCTCTCCTGACATTAGTAAATTGATCTTTTCTCAAGAAAAGAAATGCGACTATTTCTTTCGAATAAAGTTCCACAAAGAAAATAATGCGAAACAAAATAACGCACAGATAAGTATCACAAACTAATCATGCTATAGAACGTCTTACCTTAATGTAAAAGTTCAATCATCTCTAGGCAATGTTAACTTACCTATCATAGACCCTAGCAAGCCAAGGAAAGAGGACTACCCCTCTGTATCCAAAAACTTTGTGAAGTATCAACTGCCCAGTATCATATTTGCCAGCTACTTTTGGAGTTTCGAGTCTTCCTACTTCGGCTAATCTGGAAAATCATGAAAATTTTTTAGAACTACCCCTCAAATTCAGCAAAAAATGATACTTTCTGAGGCACTGTAATGTGAGCCCTAGCAAATCAATATTTTTCCTGGTCGCAAAGACCCTGAAGACCTACATTTATCTATCTTTGAAACCTAACCTCATTCTTATCTTACTATCAAGAAAAAGAAAGTTTGTGAATTTACCTAGCATAGTTTCGTCTACAAACCAAAATCCTCGAGGAAATTGGTAAAATTTTCCTCTGAAAAGTTACACAGACGAGATCCATTTTTCATTTTTGATGCGCAATAATTTTCGAAAGCATCTTTAAGGTAAACAATTAATTGAAACTGTATTGGAAAATAGAAAGTTTGTTAGTTGTACTTATTTTGTAGACAGGAATTTGGTTAATTTTGAGGTCAAAATCCAAAGAAATACTTTAAAAATGCGATTTTTTGATAGTTAAAAGTTTATTTTGATTATTTGATTTTAGATTTATGACAACAATAAATAATTACGTGACTCTGACCAGTTGACGTCACTGCTGCACTGCTGTTCTGTTACACCGAGCATTCGTTGTGCTCTTGTTCTGTCTGTTCTAATAAGTTCTGTTGAGTTTTTTAGGCTGAGTTCGGCTTTGCACTCCACGGAGTGGAACGGTATGGATATCGTGACGTTATACGCAAAAGAGAACACTCTGAGAGCTAAAACGAACAGAATCTTATCGTTTCAAGCGCGCACAGAGTGTATAAAAGCCGAACTCTCAGCCTTGAGTTTCCCTCTCTTCTGGAAAAACTAAAGGCGATTTCCATTTGTAGAACCAATACAAAAAATGCGACTTCATGGTTCATTCTTCGTTGGCAGTAAGATAACTGATTCGGGACTATTATTCGCATGAATGTCGTTCGCGGCTTATTAAATTCCGAATTTTCTAGTTCACAACACAACTATAGTTCCGGATCGATTCAGAAGATGTTCTACCGGAAAATCCTGGAGCTTATTAACATTGTTTTGGTTTACTTAGAACTATGTAGTTCGGAATCATTCTGCACCTGCGTATGGTATAAAATGCGTTTTCTTTTTTTCAGGATCGTAATAGAACTGTCTTGACAGCGTTGTGGTTTCTGCTTTTGGTTTATTTAGAACTACATAACAATTATTCTGGGATTGTTCTAGAACGGTTTCCTCAGTTCTTGCTCTGCAGGAAGAACTGTTTTGGAATTTTAGGTCTGTTTGCTATTTACGTGTAGCATAGGTCAATGCAGACTGCTGGTGCAGCTAGGTGTAGCTGATGGGCACCAGGTTCAAGAAAAACTACCAAACGCGTTAGTGCAGTTTGTGCAGCGATAGGAGCGGATAATTCTCTAACCTCACAAAATTATTATTTAGGTAGATTAAAGTGGAAACTAACCGAGAAAAAAATGTGTATTATATTATTTATGAGAAGAACAAAATTTACAAGGTTTTATTGTCGAAAATTATAGAGAAAGATGGAAATTCCCTATTTTCAAACCCTGAATAGTTTTTAAATACTATTGCCCCCTCCCCATTATGCACTTGTTACGCCTCCTCTTGAGCAGGTCTAGGTAGTGCAAGATTGGGCCCCCTACTCTGAAATAACAAACGCCTCACACTATCTGCACTAACCGTAGAACAAACGCCTCAGTGCAGAAAAGTGTAAATTATTGTGCACTAGTGGAGGATAACAAACAGACCTTTTGTGACTTGCGGTTCGTTTGGTTTTTTTTTTTGGTTCCGAACAGGGAATTCCCAACAACATAACCTAAACCCTAAAGCTTAATTCTCACTTGCGAGAAATTAGCTCTTTTTTGACATTGCTTCGAAATTTGATGTTTGATACACGCATAAAACGTCAAATTGTCGAAGCAATGACGAAAAAAGAGCGAATTTCGCGCAAGTGAGAATGAGACATTAGAATGGCACAAAGTAAAAGGAAATCGCCGTGTTTTATAAAACCCATCACTGAGTAGAGCACAAGGATAATACATACTACAGAATAGTTTATCCTCATAAGGCCAGTGTAGATCAAATCTCAAGCCCCTCATACCCTTGCCTCTCACCAAGGTTTTTTAAAATAAGGAGGTTGCCTAATAACTTTTATGACGTCATCTGTATGCCTCAACATAATGCAAATCTCCATGGGGCACCCTAGCTGCGTCATTAAGTTACCCATTCAATACCAGACAACCTATTCATTGCAACGTATGAACTTTAGGAACCTTGGCACCACGCCTAAGAACCACTAATGACGTATTAGCGTGTCGTTTCTCGCCTTGTCGTAGGGTATTTGCACCACAGGTTATGATTCCGCGGGCTTTTGCTTTATGCATATTTGTACTTGTATCGGATAACGGATGCATGAGACTCTGGCTCTAGCCGGTGGTGCACCAACAGCACTCAGGGCAAAACTCAGTGCATTGCTTTCCCAATGGAATACAAAAGTGCGCGCGGACCCCGCCAATGGATCACGAATATTGCACCAGTGTTACACTTGCTCTACTAATGAAATACGCTATGGAAATCTAAGCAGGTACGCTGTCACGCCATAAATGTCAAAGTACGCTCGTGAGAAGCAGCGCGTAAAGCTCTGGAGCCGTTCCGGAGCTCCTCCTAGGTGTGAAAGGAATACAACTGACAATCGAACTGTTCCAAATTTCGAACCAAAAGAAAGTTATTTGTCCGTCATTTTATTAATCTGACATTTTCCGTATGATGAGCGAGGGGGTGAAGCATATGGCAAAAACAGGTGTGGCCGTCAGGTGACCATTGGCGTTCTAATGTACGGTGCCACCAGCTCAAATTCCTTTTGAGAATCAGGGCGAAAACCAGGGCGTCTGTTCCTTCAGATCGTGGTCGACTAACACCGGAGCGAGTAGCTCTAGTGTTCTAAACTCTTGAAAGGAATACAACTATTGATGAGTGGTAGTGAGTTTCGAGTTTCGTTCATAATTAGGCAATTTTTCGCGAGGATAATCAAGTATAATCTGATTATGCTGGGTTTTGTGATGTTTCAATTGTGTCATACTCCTCTAACTCCCTCCCCATCTAATTTTGGGCCTGCGCGTGACGTCAATATCAGCAGTTTATAGCAATGAACTACACGTACTTAAAGGGCCCGGGTCTAAGGGACCCGGTCTATCTATAAAATGAGGCAAATTGAAATGGAGAATGTGGTGACATCATATTACGATCCTATTGTGTTGTATTGTGTGAATCGTCCTTTTTTATCATCTCAAAAAGACAAAAAAAGTCAGGTCAGTGCAGTATCGTATTCTAACCAAACATAACATAAAAACGTTGCATTTCTTTTGTTCAGCTTTAACATTGACAAAAACTGTCTGACCTAAGTTTTTCAGAAGAGACTTTTTGTTTTTAAGCCTGACTCACACTAGGCAAATGTGAGAAATACATATTGCTTGTACCAGCTTTACGTTTGGCTAAGTGTACCAAACCTAATAGCACACATACAAATACGCAAATGCTATATCTGACATCGGTCGGGCCATTCCAGGTACAGTCGTGAGTATTAAAAATGGGACATTCGATTTTTCCTCTTGTAATACGGGGTCTGCGGAAGACGTCACCACTATGACCGAATTTTCGCGACGAACTTCCATGATTTCCTGAACTGAACACAAACGCTTTCGCGAGAAACTCATGACGCCATATTGAGCGTAGTTCGATGGATCCATGCTTCCGTTCAAACTAATGACGTCACACACGAACTATGGTTCGTTCTTGGATGAACTACATTCGTCACGAAAATTCGGTCTATTAGCTGCTATTAGTGGTGATGTCACCCGCAGACCAGCTGCCTCCTTGAAAACTTTCTCATTATAATACAAAATACCACTATTAGTTTCAAGAATAGACGCCCATTTCAAGCCTAGTACTCATAACTGCGAAATTCGCATTTTTTTGACATTGCGTTGACAATTTGACGTTTTATGCGGGTATCAAACGTCAAATTGTCAACGCAATGTCAAAAAAATGCGAATTTCGCAGTTATGAGTACTAGGCTTTAATTACAAAAAAGTGCCAAAACCAAAACTACCTTCAACTTTCGAGTGGTAGAGTAGAGAGCTCCGAATTCCCGCCTATCGACTCCGCCCGACTTCCAGCCTTTTTACGATTCACATGTTCAAAAACTTAAATAAATAGTGTTTTGAGGTCAAGAGGCTGTGAATTTTTGAGCAAGATCCGTGGAAGATTGTACCTTTGCTATTGATTTCAAATGGGGTGCCCTCGCTTGGATTATGTTCGCTCTCAGAGCACTCCCGCAGAGATCTATGACGTCACCGACCAGACAGGGAGCACTCTGGGAGCAGTAGAACCGAAAACGCCTAATGTCATTTTTCGAAAAAATATCGATCAGCTGTTTGGACTGTCACAAAATTGAAAATTCAGAAATTGTTATTACAATTACATTACAAGTTTTTTTTGGCAATAAATATGCAAGAACAGCTAAAAACCACACAAATATGAAACAAACACAATGCAGATTTGCGAAAAATTGTTTATATAACGTTTAAACGTAAGACTGACTGCTATTCCTTTCAAAAATGTAAGTTATATCTCATTGTTTACCTCATGCCTTCCGCAAAAGTCAATTTTAATTACCTGTTTTCATAAAATAGACTTGTATTAATTTATTCATTCATTTAGAAAACAAATACGCCATGCCTGAAAACCTCGAGCTCCAACAACTAGTTGACGAGGAGGCCGAAGAAGAGTTAAGATTCCAACAGCCAAAAACTCTAAAATGCCGCAAGTACCCTTACTTAGGATTAATATTAGCTACTCTAAGTGCTCTCTTTTTCTCCCTATGTTCGGCGATAGTCAAGTGGATGTCCGATATAAATCCTATGGCTCTAGCTGCTTACAGATTCTTAGGAGTACTTTTACCAACCATCCCCATACTTATATACCATCAAAAGCCTTGTTTTCCTAAAGATAAACGTATAATGTTAATTTTAAGATCATTCACAGGCACAACTGCGTTGATGCTTAGTTTCTATGCTTTCAGACATATGCCCTTAAGTGATGCTTCAGTGATAGTATCCTCAGTCCCAGTATTCACTGCAATATTTGCTAGAATGTTTCTAAAAGAACCTTGCGGCTGGTTCAGTATTTTTTCTGTAAATGTAACCTTAATAGGAGTAGTTTTAATTACAAGACCGCCCATAATTTTTGGTAATACAATAGAATCTCTAGGTGATAACGGGCAAGCACCTGAAATTTGGGGTGCAGTAGCTGCCTTCAGTTCAACTTTGTTTGGGGCCAATGCTTTTGTAATATTAAGGGCTTTAAAAAATGTTCATTTTTCAGTAATAATGACTAATTTTGGAAGTTTTGCACTTGTCCAGTGCCTCATTGTAACATATTTTCTTGGAGCCTTATGTTTGCCCGTTTGCGGCGTGGACAGGTACTTAATAGTGGCATTGGCGTTGTTTAGTTTTTTGGGGCAAATACTACTTACTGTCGCTTTGCAAATGGAGCAGGCTGGACCTGTAGCCATAGCAAGGAGTACTGATATCGTGTTTGCTTTTATTTGGCAGGTTTTGTTTTTTGACGAAGTACCAAATAGGTTTTCAATTATCGGAACTATTTTGGTGATGGCTTCTGTGATTCTGACTGGGTTGAGAAAGTGGATTATGATTTTGCCATATGATGCAGCAATAAGGAGGAGATTTGGGTTTTTAACTAAATAGACCAATAACTACTTGGGTACAAGTTTATTTTTAGGGGATTGTGATGTGAGGCTTTCAGGATTTCTATACCAAAGAAAATTGTATAAAAAATATCAATTTTGCTGCCTGATGGACCAGTATTTAAATTGTAGATTTTTACAGGATATTGTTATAGCTATATTGGGATTTATTTATTTAATTTCTTACAAGTTCACTTCTTGTTGCCTAGTTGTATAACCTTTCCTAAGTATTAAAAATGCTTTTTCTATTTATAGGAACTTATTATTATATTTGAATAATAATCACTATAGAGGCAAGATTCAAATTTTCCAATAACACAAATTCGATCCGTCTTAAATTTCAACAACTATAAATGTTGGAAAATTAGAATCTTGTTAATATTTACTATTTAGAACATATTTATTAGGAACCTCATATAAAATGAACAATCAGATAAGTGAGAATTCTTACCTTAAATAATCCTAATAGTCGGAAGTCAAAATATTAAGGCATTTTCAATAGATTTGCTCGATAAATCAGGGCGCCGAGGGCGGAAAATTTGTATTTTCATAACCAGGCATTCTATTCTAGCAGTAAGTATAAAGGTGTCTTTGTTTCACCTTGAGTTTCTACATCCGAATTTTTTTGTAATACCATACCATAATTTAGGAACCATACATAACTTTAATAGGTTTTAAATTTGACAGTTGATGGTTACATGGAATTGTGAAACTTTTTCTTTTGGAGGTGTATTTCAAATTTTACCTTCCTTGAGACTTTCAGATCTGAAAATATATTATTATAGTGTTGAGTTAAGAGTGTTAAGACAACCTATTTCAGTTAGGTAGATACTATCTTTAAATTATAGATTTGTAAGTGCTCATCTAGATTTATTGATTCTTAGTGCCATTTTCAAGCTCCATTCTTTCTACTGAGTATTTATTACTTATTTATTGTTTTTTTTTACTTAGTTTTATACAAATTATAAAAGAGTTTTTAGATCCTTACTTTTTTCTAGTCAACTCTAGTCAGTTAGAATAAAAGCGATTTTTGCTATTATTTATTTTTTCATTACTTAATGATTAGGTATGTTGTTTTAAATAAAGTAAAATAACAAGAAGTGTTTCAATTTTCTTGTACAAAATATGTAGATCTTTGAAGATGGTCGTCTATTTGATCCTTTTTCATGTGTTTTATTTGGGAGTTATTTTATTTGGAAACACAGTTCTGGTTCGTACGATGATGAAGAACAATCTTACTAACTCTACCCCCAATTAAAAAAAAAAACATGCATAGTTTTCGGCGGTTGTGTGAATCGTATTTTTCTGATTTTTGTAGGGCAGTTCCACAAGAATTGAGCGAACGTGTTTTCAAAATTTCCGCCAGTTTTGTTATGTGATACAGCGTTAAACAGTCTTAAATCGCCAAAGTTTTGGTTGAAATTCGCCAATATTGTTTCGATTATATATTTTTTGTTCAAATAAAACAATGGGTCAACACAACTGCTACAAATGCCAGGCAAAGGAGGAAAAATCTTTGGTTTTCCATGCGAATTCTGCAGAAAAGTTATCTGCTCTGGTTGCTCTAAACTGCAAGCACAGGAAATTCGATGTGTACCTAGTTCCTAGTTCATCATCTAGAACAACGATCTTTGTAGGTATGTCCCGACTGCTCTATGTAGATCAAGGAGCTACCTAAGTTCAAAGAAAATCTTGATCAAGCCTTAGATGATCGAAAAGCAATGAAGTCAGAAGTTAAAAAGGATGCAAAGTTCAAGAACGACTTTGACTCTTTCAATGTACGTACAGACACCTTTTCAAGATCAAGAAAGTGAAACACTATGTTAATCTATAGGCGACATGAAAGAAGATCTTATTGCGCTCACAGACAGGATACCATCACAAAGCTTTGAGGATGTTATCAAAAGCCAAGAAGCAAATAACGAAGAATTAAGACAAACCATAACTGAGCTGAAGAAGGAAGTAGAGGTTGTTTCTAAAAAACTGCCCACACAGAGCTACGCGCTCGGCTACGCGGATGCGCTGAAAGGTTTGGAATGAAAAGTCGACAACATTATAAAAGTATGGAAGAGAGGCCAGCTTTAGAACCAACACTAGTTGAACTAAAGGAAAGAGCTACCAATGCAATAATGTTTGGAGTGAAGGAATCCAGGAAGAATGAGGAGGCAGAAAGGAAAGATGATGGTAGAGAAAAAGTAATTTCCTTGTTCCCCAAAATGATGAAATTCTACCCGATACAGCAAGAATCATTAGGCTTGGGAATTATACAGCAGATAAAAAGCGACCAATCAAAGTATTTTTTTCTTCAAAGCAAGAAGCTTTGCAAGTGCTGTGAAACAGAAAAGCAATGAAGGACCAAACCGGAATCGGAACGTACATGAGAAGTGACCAGACATTTATACAGACAAGCTATTTAAGGCAGGTTATAGAAAAATTAGAGAAAGAAAAGAGCGAAGGTAAACAAAATTTAATCATAAAATATAAGAGAGGTATTCCGACTATTGTGATTGACAGACATACAAAAAACTGAAATTCGAGAGGGGTGTGTGAGGACTGTCGATAGTAACGAAACAGCTACTAGAGAAAAGGAGAAAACTGATAACCGACGGTAAAAGAGACACTATTGAATACACAGAAACCAACAGCAAGGAAAATGGCGAAACAGGATTTGCTAAAACATCAAATGAAACAAGTGCAATCCCTATTAAAACAGAACAAAGGACTAAACATATTTAAAAGACATAACACACCTAAGAAAGAGATAACAAAAATAAAAAATGCGAAAAACAACATAGTAGAAGACAGACAACAGATATTAAAAGTTGTAGAATCTTTCTATAGAGATCTGTACGAATCTAAAATAGTAAACACAAGGACAAGAGAAGACAAAATAAGAATAGTAAATGCAAACTCCGAAGAAATGCCCGACATAAATATAGAAGAATTGGAGAAAGGGTTATCCCAGGTGAAAAATGGTAAAGCGGCAGGAGAAGACAACATTCTGCCTGAAATGCTCAAGGGAAGCGATACTAAGACGAGACAAGAACTAGTGAAACTATTCAATAAGTGCCTAACAGAAGAACATTTACCCAAAGATTGGGAGAATGCTGTAGTTGTTCTAATCTACAAGAAAGGTGACCAGACTGATCTCGAAAACTACCGGCCGATAAGCTTACTATCACAGATATATAAATTATTCACCAGAATAATCACCAACAGATTAGACCGAAAACTCGAAGTTTACCAACTAAAGGAACAGGCTGGATTCCGAAGCCATTATAGCACGACAGAACATCTACACACAGTAAGGCAGATGATCGAGAAAGCTACAGAATATAATATAAACTTATGGATGGCTTTTGTCGATTTCCGAAAAGCCTTCGACACAGTAGAAATCTGGGCAATAATAAAATCCTTGAGAAATGCCAGAGTGGATGAACGTTATATAAACCTCATTGAAAACATCTATAGGACTTCGACAATGTCGATAATACTTCATGAATCATCTAACAGAACAAACGCCAAAAGAGGAATTCGGCAAGGGGACTTAATATCTCTAAAATTATTCACTTTAGTGCTCGAGGTTATTTAAAAAAAGCTACAATGGGAAAACAAATGATTGAACATACATGGTAAACGCCTGCACAATCTAAGATTTGCCGACGATATTGTACTATTCGCAAAAGACAAACAGGAATTGATAGATATTGTTGGAAGAACTACAGGATGAGGTGGCAAAAGTAGGATACACATGAACTACATAAAGACCCAGTTTATTATAAATACACCAGATGCAGACGAAACAATACCGATCCATGACAGCACAATGAAGAAGACAGAAACATACATCTACCTTGACCAAGCTATAACACCGGGCAAACAAAATCAAGAAATGGAAATTGATAGGAGAATTAGACTGGGATGGGCGGCTTAATTACGGCAAATTAAAGTACATCTTCAACATGAATATTCCAATGACTTTGAAATCAAGTCTATAACGAGTGTATACTGCCTGTCGTCACGTATGGTTGCGAGACCTGGGTGATAACCAGAAAAATTAAACACAAATTGGAAGTACATCAGAGAGCCATTGAAAGATGAATTTTAGGAATTTCTTTGAGAGACCACAAAACAAATACATGGATAAAGGAAAGAACCAAAGTCTCCGACATAATAAAAAGAATTGGTTCCCTAAAATGGCAATGGGCAGGACAAGTGGGCAGACATACAGAAAAGTGGAGCGGGTATATATCACTAGATGGAGACCTTGGGAAGAGAGAAGTGTTGGAAATAGTCCAAACTGTGGGGTATGAAATTGAATGAAACGAAATGCTCAGGGTTGCACATTGGTCCAAACTGAGGGTTCAAATAACCCACTGACCAGATACCACCTCAATAACATAGCTCTATTATCACTTGAAGAACGAAACGATTTAGGTGCTATTATTTCAAATGACTTAGGCCCGGTTTATTCATCCTCAGATAAACTTGCTGGTAATTATCTGCAAGATAAATTTACCATTCCATAATTCTTTTGGTCGGCCAATAGGATTATTACAGATTACTTTTTTATTCCGCAGAACCGGACCTTAAAATGGTAAAAGCATATCAATAAGATAACAAAGACTCCGTGAAAAGAGGACGTCAGGAAATTGAAAAATTCAAAAATTCACAACATTTTTTATTGAGATTTTCTTTCAATAAACATTTGACCATCAGAAAATTGGAAAGCCAACGTCAAACTGCATTCGAGTACAAGACAAAATTCCAAAGCAGTTGAGGCGGCGCTAATGACGTGAGGCTTGTTAATCGACAATTCTATGTTACTGAATTTAAAAATCTTACATAGAAAGTACATTAGAGGGAAAGTATCTATTTATTTCCATATTATTTATACTACCCTCGTATTTGGGCTCTAATCAAATTCAAAAACCACAATGATATGGGCTATCTAGTAGCAGAACGTAGAACTTTAAAATTTCTTTAGTGGAAAAGCGCCATCTACGGTTGTATTATTCGATCGCCAGTGTATAGACTTTTTCCTAAGGAAGGCCAGTGACCGAATGGCGCTTCGTGTCACTAGATGGGGCAGGTTATATTACTTTTTAATTAAATTTAATTTGATGATTCTATGAAGTTTTATTGTTTCAATTACAGGTTTCAATATCCTAATCAATTAGATTACTAGAAAATTAAAATATTTTGCTTGTTACAAATTGAATGAAAAAAAAAAAGTTGGGAATAGACGAAATTACAATTTTCATTAGCGCTCGTCATTTTACTTTGTACGTAACTTAAGTGAAAAAGCAAAGTTCCCAATAATTAGCGAAATTTGGAAAGCATTGCTTTCGGAGTCCCAATAAATGTTACTACGGCAATGCCGCATTTTAATTTATAAAATAGACATAAGAAATGTTCCATCAGGCTTTCAGAAATGCTGGCAGTAGCGTAATATTGCTGTTCCAGCACAGTACTGTTGATGAAATTTTGTATTCCCCAAGAAAATAGCTCCTTTTGGAAGGCCCCATGATGTTCTTGATCACAAACTTAGATAAACAGTCGTGCACAAAATTAGTTAGAACCAACTAAGAAGAACCCCAGACGTCATCACTGACGAAGAAGACAAATTTCTCATTGCAAATTTCCTTTTCTCTAAGGCCTTCCCATTTGAAGTGAGAGTAGAAATCACACTGTGGCTTCTTCTTAGTTGGTTTTATCTATAACAGTGCCTAGGGGCTGTAACAACCCAAACGGCTCCCTATCCAATCTGCAATCTTATTCAATTTCCATCATTTCAAATTCCCTATTTTTACCCCAAAGCAAAAAATCTAACACATTCTTTATTATAATCTTTAGGTACCTACAGTAAGATTTTAGGTGCTTTCCAACTAAAAATCTTGATAGATTTGTTTCTAAAAAAAAAAAGGGCCTGTAAAAGTGGTCATAGCTGGCCATGATTACAGCTCAAAAATTGAAGTTACCCGTTTGTTATAAAGGCGCAAATACCCACCTAACTTTCCTGACTTAAATCATCGCCAGCGTATATAATATAGCATCTCAGTGTCCGGAATTCGGGCTATCCGGAGCCCTGGCGCCACGC